AGTATAAATCTACTATATAAACAGTGGAGCCAGGCACAGTATAAATCTACTGTATAAACAGTGGAGCCAGGCACAGTATAAATCTACTGTATAAACAGTGGAGTCAGACACAGTATAAATCTACTGTATAAACAGTGGAGTCATACACAGTATAAATCTACTGTATAAACAGTGGCTCCAGCCATAGTATAAATCTACTGTATAAACAGTGGAGTCAGACACAGTATAAATCTACTGTATAAACAGTGGAGTCAGACACAGTATAAATCTACTGTATAAACAGTGGAGTCATACCCAGTATAAATCTACTGTATAAACAGTGGCTCCAGCCATAGTATAAATCTACTGTATAAACAGTGGAGTCAGACACAGTATAAATCTACTGTATAAACAGTGGAGTCAGCCACAGTATAAATCTACTGTATAAACAGTGGAGCCAGGCATAGTATAAATCTAATGTATAAACAGTGGAGTCAGACACAGTATAAATTTACTGTATAAACAGTGGAGTCAGACACAGTATAAATCTACTCAGACACAGTATAAATCTACTGTATAAACAGTGGCACCTGGTAGAATGTAAGCCTTTTGAATAAATAGTGGTGCCAGGCACAGTTTATTACCAAGTCTGTTAATATGAATTACCTTTTTCATGGAATCATTGTATTTTGTGTTGTAGCATGTAAAGGAATAGGATTTCTAGTTCACTGAAAATAATTTTTATTAATTGACAATATCTTCTTTGTAAGCTTGAGAGTAATTGAGCTACGTTAGGTCTTTATGGTCAGATGACTGTTTAGGCCCATGGACCTCTTCTAACGGTCAGATGACTGTTCAGGCACATCGACCTCTTGTTCTAATGGTCAGATGACTGTTCAAGCCCATGGACCTCTTCTAATGGTCAGATGACTGTTCAGGCCCATGGACCTCTTGTTCTAATGGTCAGATGACCGTTCAGGCCCATGGACCTCATGTTCTAATGGTCAGATGACTGTTCAGGCCCATGGACCTCTTGTTCTAATGGTCAGATGACTGTTCAGGCCCATGGACCTCTTCTAATGGTCAGATGACTGTTCAGGCCCATGGACCTCTTCTAATGGTCAGATGACTGTTCAGGCCCATGGACCACTTCTAATGGTCAGATGACTGTTCAGGCCCATGGACCTCTTCTAATGGTCAGATGACCGTTCAGGCCCATCGACCTCTTGTTCTATTGGTCAGATAACTGTTCAGGCCAATGGACCTGTTGTTCTAATGGTCAGATGACTGTTCAGGCCCATGGACCTCTTGTTCTAATGGTCAGATGACTGTTTAGGCCCATCGACCTCTTGTTCTAATGGTCAGATGACTGTTCAGGCCCATGGGCCTCTTGTTCTAACGGTCAGATGACTGTTCAGGCCCATGGACCTCTTCTAATGGTCAGATGACTGTTCAGGCCCATGGACCTCTTCTAATGGTCAGATGACTGTTCAGTCCAATGGACCTGTTCTAACGGTCAGATGACTGTTCAGGCCCATGGACCTCTTGTTCTAACGGTCAGATGACTGTTCAGTCCAATGGACCTGTTCTAATGGTCAGATGACTGTTCAGGCCAATGGACCTGTTGTTCTAATGGTCAGATGACTGTTCAGGCCCATGGACCTCATGTTCTAATGGTCATATGACTGTTCAGGCCCATGGACCTCTTGTTCTAACGGTCAGATGACTGTTCAGGCCCATGGACCTCTTCTAATGGTCAGATGACTGTTCAGGCCCATGGACCTCATGTTCTAATGGTCAGATGACTGTTCAGTCCAATGGACCTGTTCTAATGGTCAGATGACTGTTCAGGCCCATGGACCTCTTCTAATGGTCAGATGACTGTTCAGGCCCATGGACCTCTTCTAATGGTCAGATGACTGTTCAGGCCAATGGACCTGTTGTTCTAATGGTCAGATGACCGTTCAGGCCCATCGACCTCTTGTTCTATTGGTCAGATAACTGTTCAGGCCAATGGACCTGTTGTTCTAATGGTCAGATGACTGTTCAGGCCCATGGACCTCATGTTCTAATGGTCAGATGACTGTTCAGGCCCATGGACCTCTTGTTCTAACGGTCAGATGACTGTTCAGGCCCATGGACCTCTTCTAACGGTCAGATGACTGTTCAGGCCCATGGACCTCTTCTAATGGTCAGATGACTGTTCAGGCCAATGGACCTGTTGTTCTAATGGTCAGATGACTGTTCAGGCCCAGGACCTCTTGTTCTAATGGTCAGATGACTGTTCAGGCCCATGGACCTCTTGTTCTTATGGTCAGATGACTGTTCAGGCCCATGGACCTCATGTTCTAATGGTCAGATGACTGTTCAGGCCAATGGACCTGTTGTTCTAATGGTCAGATGACTGTTCAGGCCCAGGACCTCTTGTTCTAATGGTCAGATGACTGTTCAGGCCCATGGACCTCTTGTTCTAATGGTCAGATGACTGTTCAGGCCCATGGACCTCTTCTAATGGTCAGATGACTGTTCAGGCCCATGGACCTCTTCTAATGGTCAGATGACTGTTCAGGCCCATGGACCTCATGTTCTAATGGTCAGATGACTGTTCAGGCCCTTGGACCTCTTGTTCTAAAGGTCAGATGACTGTTCAGGCCCATGGACCTCTTCTAATGGTCAAATGACTGTTCAGGCCCATGGACCTCATGTTCTAATGGTCAGATGACTGTTCAGGCCCATGGACCTCTTGGTCTTATGGTCAGATGACTGTTCAGGCCCATCGACCTCATGTTCTAATGGTCAGATGACTGTTCAGGCCCATCGACCTCTTGTTCTAATGGTCAGATGACCGTTCAGGCCCATCGACCTCTTGTTCTATTGGTCAGATGACTGTTCAGGCCCATCGACCTCTTATTCTAATTTGATCTATTCCGGAACAGAACATGAGACTCAGGCTGCATGTGATGAAAAAGTCTATTGTTTTATGTTTACCTGTTTCATGAAAATTGGCTTGAGACCTTAATGGCTATGTTACAGGAAACTTACCGCCCATAAGTTGCTTTTTGACAATTTTTATGAAAACGTTATTTATCTCCAGATTTTCTCTATGTATCATCAGTAGTAATTATAAAGGAGTAATGAAAAACACTACTCCTAACTGCTGGAGTTTGAACAAGACCTATAGAGTGATATCTCCCTCGTGGTTTTCAGCTCCATCAATACCGATGATTCTGGTGAGACTATAGTGATCCTTTGGTCTCTAACAAGGCACTCTACTGTTAGACTAAATTTCCACTAGCAAAGGCTAGTAAGGTGACCATGAGTACCTTCAACTTAACACTTCTAAAGCTTCCAGTATCAGGACTCATCATTTTAAACTTATTTGAGAACTGATAATTAAGAAAGTAGAAATCAATCACAACAGGCAAAGGGGGCCAGGTTCATCATTTATTCATTAGTTGACCAGTTTCAATCTTTCAGCTTCCTCATGACATACATTATCAATCACAATATTACCCCTAAGGTAATAAAATGAGGATATTCAATTCATTGTTATTTTATAACAATAATTTTTTTTTATTTATTTATTTAATTTAGACAGGGTTACAAAATTAGTCTTCCATCTAGTTTACAAAATGGCCATGTTAAAGACACACACAAGTATATACAAGGTAAAACAAAACACTTTAAACATTTACACGCCAGCACAAACATAGAAATAGGATACATAGATAACCTGTATATATAAGTAAGATACAACAACATTGTCTTTCTATGACATCACAACAACATTGTTATTCTATGACATCACAACAACATTGTCATTCTATGACATCACAACAACATTGTTATTCTATGACATCACAACAACATTGTCATTCTATGACATCACAACAACATTGTTATTCTATGACATCACAACAACATTGTTATTCTATGACGTCACAACAACATTGTTATTCTATGACGTCACAACAACATTGCTATTTCATGACATCGCAACAACATTGTTATTCTATGACATCACATTATTGTTATTCTATGACATCACAACATTGTTATTCTATGACATCAAACCATTGTTATTCTATGAGATCACAACATTGTTGTTTATTATGTCAATACGTTGTTATTCTGTGACGTCACAACAACATTGTTATTCTATGACCTCACAACAACATTGTTATTCTATGACATCACAACATTGTTATTCTATGACATCAAACCATTGTTATTCTATGAGATCACAACATTGTTGTTTATGATGTCAAAACGTTATTTTGTGACGTCACAACAACATTGTTATTCTATGACCTCACAACAACATTGTTATTCTATGACATCGCAACAACATTGTTATTCTATGACATCGCAACAACATTGTCATTCTATGACATCACAACAACATTGTCATTCTATGACGTCACAACAACATTGTCATTCTATGACGTCACAACAACATTGTTATTCTATGACATCACAACAATGGACAAAAAAGTTATATATATATATATATATATATAATGTACATCTATTTCTGTCTTTTATCAAAGATCTTAAATGATAATATATATCATAACTTTGTTTAATCATGTATTAAGTTCATCCTTATGTAGACTTGTTTGGTGCTTTTGACCTCTTCTCAAAGGTGAACTTGATTGTGTTGTGGTAATTGTTTACAGCTTTACAGAAGGCAGTAACTGCCTCTCAAGAATGTGGCTAAGTGAAGATAATGTCATTGATGTATCACCGCCATACTAATAGTAATCTGTGTTATGTAGAGTGTTTAGGTCACCAGGCCCAAAGGTCAAACACAACATTCATGTACTCTGCCCTACACACACAACTAATGTGATGTTTGAATTTTATAACATTTCTTATCAATCTTAATTATAAACTCATTAACTACAGAAATGTTTGGTGGATACATGTAATGGTCCCTGTTACAATAGATACTTATTAATTAATAGTTTAAGTGGTAAGTGGTTTATCACTGAATAATTTTTGTTTTTATTATTTGGCAGGTAAAAAAGGATGGCAAGACAAAACACGATCGAAGAGCAGAGCAACTCCTGAAAAAAGTAACAAAGGACATCCAAAAAATAAAACGCACAAATCCTAACTGTAACGCCAATACATTCAGGTAAGTCATCATTTACAATGAGAAATAACTTCTGTCCTGATATACAATACAGTTGCTAAAGTTTGTGTCTTTTCTAAATTTGAAAATTAACTAACTAGGTTAGCTAAACATGATAGAAAGCTGTCACTCATTCGGGAACCTATATTTATTCCATAACTACGTCTGTTTATCAACTTTGTAACAGTGTATTATAGTTTTTGTTACACAAAATGGTGTACGTATATATGTAAATGTACACTATGACCTAATACTACAGTAAATGTACACTATGACCTAATACTACAGTAAATGTACACTATGACCTAATACTACAGTAAATGTACACTATGACCTAATACTACAGTAAATGTACACTATGACCTAATACTACAGTAAATGTACACTATGACCTAATACTACAGTAAATGTACACTATGACCTGATACTACAGTAAATGTACACTATGACCTGCAGTAAATGTACACTATGACCTATAGAAAATGTACATTATGACCTAATACTATAGTAAATGTACATTATGACCTAATACTACAGTAAATGTACACTATGACCTACAGTAAATGTACACTATGACCTAATAAATAAATGTACACTATGACCTAATACTACAGTAAATGTACACTATGACCTATGACCTAATACTACAGTAAATGTACACTATGACCTAATACTACAGTAAATGTACACTATGACCTAATACTACAGTAAATGTACACTATGACCTACAGTAAATGTACACTATGACCTAATACTACAGTAAATGTACACTATGACCTAATACTACAGTAAATGTACACTATGACCTACAGTAAATGTACACTATGACCTAATACTACAGTAAATGTACACTATGACCTAATACTACAGTAAATGTACACTATGACCTAATACTACAGTAAATGTACACTATAAATGTACAGTAAATGTACACTATGACCTAATACTACAGTAAATGTACACTATGACCTAATACTACAGTAAATGTACACTATGACCTAATACTACAGTAAATGTACACTATGACCTACAGTAAATGTACACTATGTCCTAATACTACAGTAAATGTACACTATGACCTAATACTACAGTAAATGTACACTATGACCTACAGTAAATGTACACTATGTCCTAATACTACAGTAAATGTACACTATGACCTAATACTACAGTAAATGTACACTATGACCTACAGTAAATGTACACTATGACCTAATACTACAGTAAATGTACACTATGACCTAATACTACAGTAAATGTACACTATGACCTAATACTACAGTAAATGTACACTATGACCTACAGTAAATGTACACTATGACCTAATACTACAGTAAATGTACACTATGACCTACAGTAAATGTACACTATGACCTAATACTACAGTAAATGTACACTATGACCTAATACTACAGTAAATGTACACTATGACCTAATACTACAGTAAATGTACACTATGACCTAATACTACAGTAAATGTACACTATGACCTAATACTACAGTAAATGTACACTATGACCTACACACTATGACCTAATACTACAGTAAATGTACACTATGACCTACAGTAAATGTACACTATGTCACTATGACCTAATACTACAGTAAATGTACACTATGACCTAATACTACAGTAAATGTACACTATGACCTAATACTACAGTAAATGTACACTATGACCTAATACTACAGTAAATGTACACTATGACCTACAGTAAATGTACACTATGACCTACAGTAAATGTACACTATGTCCTAATACTACAGTAAATGTACACTATGACCTAATACTACAGTAAATGTACACTATGACCTAATACTACAGTAAATGTACACTATGACCTAATACTACAGTAAATGTACACTATGACCTAATACTACAGTAAATGTACACTATGTCCTAATACTACAGTAAATGTACACTATGACCTAATACACTATGACAATACTACAGTAAATGTACACTATGACCTGCAGTAAATGTACACTATGACCTACAGTAAATGTACACTATGACCTAATACTACAGTAAATGTACACTATGACCTAATACTACAGTAAATGTACACTATGACCTGATACTACAGTAAATGTACACTATGACCTGCAGTAAATGTACACTATGACCTATAGTAAATGTACACTATGACCTAATACTACAGTAAATGTACACTATGACCTAAAACTACAGTAAATGTACACTATGACCTAATACTACAGTAAATGTACACTATGACCTAATACTACAGTAAATGTACACTATGACCTAATACTATAGTAAATGTACACTATTACTACAGTAAACTTACACTGAAAGATGACATTATACAAGAATAAATGAACACTAGAGATATGTACATCATGGAATATCCATGATTTAAGATCTAACTCTACAGTAATGCCTCTGATTTACAGGGAGAAGATGGCCTTTTTTACAACAGTAAATATGCAGGTACCAGTTGTGTCTTTGGAGGCAGAAGGTAGCAGTGAGCCTCCGTATTCTGATAAACTTGTTCAAGAACCTGCAACGGTGGGAAATAGCAAGGACCCTTGTTTTGACGAGTTCCTTGAAGATGAGCGGGTCGGACAAGAGGTTTAATTGTATAGACATCTGAAATGGGAATCAAAAATTGCGTGTAGAGAAGGTTGGCAGCCAGATGGACAAAGCCACAGTTAGGGGATGATTGTGTAGTAAACATCCCAGAAAAGGAAGTGGAGGTTGTATGTGTTGTTGGTAATCACCTTGTTAATGGTTGTGGAAATTGCTTTGGGCATTGAAGACACATTTGAACGGGTATTGCACAGGGATCCGAGGGTATCTTTGCTCTCTCTGTAGATTTGTTTAGAGGCAAATAACTGCATAACGATATTGAAAGTAGAAAAAACAATCAAATAAGTCATGTGATGAATTTTACCTAGACTTAAAGGAGATTTGTTGTTAGAGACAATTCATTCCAATATTTGCGTGTGCTTTATTCCAACACTGTTCCCCGGTACATTTTCATGATTAGAAGCTTTTGGTTTCTATAATGGAAAATGCCAAGACATGTTTAGTATTTATATGTAAACCCATTCAAAAATTGAGATATCTGATTTTTAAAACAATGAAAGAAGTAATTGTAACAGAAGAGGACAGTTTATCCAAAGAAAATATTTTTGAAGTAATCATAAAATTTTGGTATGGTTTGATATGGATATTGGAAGGAGGTCTGTGAGTTAGCTTCCAAACCAGATGTATGAGGTGGTCAGGTTACTGGAATAGAGTGATTGTGTTAGCTTCCAAATCAGACACCTGCAGATTTGAGATAGAATACTGGAATTGGTCTGTGTGTTAGCTTCCAAACCAGACACCTGCAGATTTGAGATGTGATTGCAGTACTGGAATGAGGTCTATGTGTTAGCTTCCAAACCAGACACCTGCAGATTTGAGATAGAATACTGGAATTGGTCTGTGTGTTAACTTCCAAACCAGACACCTGCAGATTTGAGATAGAATACTGGAATTGGTCTGTGTGTTAGTACTGACTGACTTTATTTGTACTTGTGTCTGTTAAGTGGTTGAATGGGTGAGGGAGAAATGTAAGGTCGTGTCAAGGTGTTATCACAAAGTCCGTCCCAGAAATCTCTGCATGTTTAAAGAGTGATACATTATACTAATAATAGGAGAAATTTTCATGTTGTATTTTTTCATTTAGTATTTGAAAATGTTGCATGTGAATGGTATTTAACTGATGTAGAGTTAGTATGTAGGTTGATTTGACCAAAAAACCAACTTGATAATTTGAAAATGTTAAAGTGTTTAAAAGTCATGTATTGAATAATGATTGTAAGGACATCTGACCTGTAAGGTCATAATAACTTTATATTCAGGTAATGCTTTTTTTCCTAAAAGCCAAAATTTGGTAAAATACATCATTGGAAGATGAAAGTCATTTCTTCAATAAATGAGGTTGGTTCATCTTTTGGAGGAAATGTTCAGAGACTTGTCCTGACCTTGTAAATAGTTACTCTATAGTGTCTAAATCCTCTGGATGTTTGATTATCAGATGACAGCCCATAGGCCCCAGAAAAGTCTTTATGATCTCAGGTTGGAGTAATTGGAGTTTATGTAGGAAGAAAAGATTTATGAGCATAATTTGTTTAATGTCCATTTGAAATATATTTAACTTGGTTAGAATTATGAGCAAAGGATGACAACTTGATGGTATGCCCATATTGATCCAGGCTGGCCCCTAGGGGCTAATGGGCCAAATTGACTCAGATTTCAAAAATCTTCTTCTCAATGCCCAAACTTTCCTGATCAAAGGGTCTCCCATTTCCTCTGTAAAGGGAATGAAGTTTACTATTGGTTTGATAGGAAAATTGCATTTTTGAGCATAAAGTTGTTTATTTAACATTGGAAATAACTTGGTAAGAATTATAAGTATAGGATGACAGTTTTGATGGTACACATATATTGACACTGGCTGACCCCCAAGAGCTTGAATCATATTCTTACATCTTACTATCATCAATGTTGCAATTTCTGTTTGGTGACGATCAAAAGCTTCTTACCATATAACTTTTATATTCAATATTGCCTATGTCAGGTGGCATTCAAGGCTGCCAAGCCTCTGATCGTTAATCAAAGGTCTGACCCACTAGGGGCAGAAGAGTGAAGGAAAACAAGGAGTAAACTTTTGGAGTTGTTTTCCCTTTGTTTGAATAAAGAAATTGTGACTAAATCAGGTGAGCAATACAGGCCCTTTTAGGCTTTGATTTTCTTAGATAGTTCAGTTCACAAAAAGAAACCAATTCATTATAGATAATTAATGATATTGATATGGAAGCCATTGGCAGTGTTCAAAACACTTGTTTTGTCTGAAATTTAACACACAAAATCAAAATGTTGTATTAAATCATTGAGCTCAAATCATTAAAGCTAATCACAATCAAGTAGCATTCAAAGAAATAAGTAAAACTTAGTTTGTTATATTTTGTGATTTTCTATTGTGTATTTACCAATAGTTTAACATTGGAGGTTAGCAAGTCCTTGGGGACACGTTTAACCTATTGTTAGACTAAATGAAAAGATTGTGTTAGAACATTTTTAACCTATTGTTAGACTTAATGAAAACATTGTGTTAGAACATTTTTAACCTATTGTTAGACTTAATGAAAACATTGTGTTAGAACATTTTTAACCTATTGTTAGACTTAATGAAAACATTGTGTTAGAACATTTTTAACCTATTGTTAGACTTAATGAAAACATTGTGTTAGAACATTTTTAACCTATTGTTAGACTTAATGAAAACATTGTTAGAATAATTTTAACCTATTGTTAGACTTAATGAAAACATTGTGTAGATAGTCATTGTTTATAATCCCTCTCATGGCTGTTTTCAATCTATATACAAATATTATACTTTTATATTTCTTATGCAAGTTAACCATGAATGTAAGCTTTATATGTAATATGTAGTCTGAAGGAGTTGAGGGCCAGTACATGTCTTTATAAGAGGATCTTAATGGTCATACTAACCTATGTAATTACATTTAGTAATTATTGATTGGTAAACTCAAACAATTACTGAATGGTAAAGTCAGATAAACACTCTTGGTAATTAGCAAGTGGTTAACTCAGATAAACAACCTGGTAATTACTGAGTGATGAATTTAGATAAACAACCTGGTAATTACTGAGTGATGAATTTAGATTAACAACCTGGTAATTTACTGAGTGATGAATTTAGATAAACAACCTGGTAATTACTGAGTGATGAATTTAGATTAACAACCTGGTAATTTACTGAGTGATGAATTTAGATAAACAACCTGGTAATTACTGAGTGATGAATTTAGATTAACAACCTGGTAATTACTGATAAATTCAGATAAACAACCTGGTAATTACTGAGTGATGAATTTAGATAAACAACCTGGTAATTTACTGAGTGATGAATTTAGATAAACAACCTGGTAATTTACTGAGTGATGAATTTAGATAAACAACCTGGTAATTACTGAGTGATGAATTTAGATAAACAACCTGGTAATTACTGAGTGATGAATTTAGATAAACAACCTGGTAATTTACTGAGTGATGAATTTAGATTAACAACCTGGTAATTTACTGAGTGATGAATTTAGATAAACAACCTGGTAATTACTGAGTGATGAATTTAGATAAACAACCTGGTAATTTACTGAGTGATGAATTTAGATTAACAACCTGGTAATTTACTGAGTGATGAATTTAGATAAACAACCTGGTAATTACTGAGTGATGAATTTAGATTAACAACCTGGTAATTTACTGAGTGATAAATTTAGATAAACAACCTGGTAAATTACTGAGTGATGAATTTAGATAAACAACCTGGTAATTTACTGAGTGATGAATTTAGATTAACAACCTGGTAATTTACTGAGTGATGAATTTAGATTAACAACCTGGTAATTTACTGAGTGATGAATTTAGATAAACAACCTGGTAATTACTGAGTGATGAATTTAGATAAACAACCTGGTAATTACTGAGTGATGAATTTAGATAAACAACCTGGTAATTTACTGAGTGATGAATTAATTACTGAGTGATGAATTTAGATTAACAACCTGGTAATTTACTGAGTGATAAATTTAGATGAACAACCTGGTAATTTACTGAGTGATGAATTTAGATTAACAACCTGGTAATTTACTGAGTGATGAATTTAGATAAACAACCTGGTAATTACTGAGTGATGAATTTAGATTAACAACCTGGTAATTTACTGAGTGATAAATTTAGATAAACAACCTGGTAATTTACTGAGTGATGAATTTAGATTAACAACCTGGTAATTTACTGAGTGATGAATTTAGATAAACAACCTGGTAATTTACTGAGTGATGAATTTAGATTAACAACCTGGTAATTTACTGAGTGATGAATTTAGATAAACAACCTGGTAATTACTGAGTGATGAATTTAGATTAACAACCTGGTAATTACTAAGAGGTTTACCTTCAATGATTGTATCACACAGATCTGTATAGAAAATATATACCCCATGGAATCAGATAAGTTTTATTCTGTATGTGATAAATTGTCGTAAATGGTGAAGACACTTGTCTTGCAGTGTTGCACCTCTGAGACAGTGCTGTAGAATGTAGTTATAGTATTCTTTGTATATGGTAAGGATACATTATATCTGTGAATCCTTATACCTGTTTTGCAATAACCAGTAACTCTGCATTTATCTGTGACATGGCTTGGTATGTTGTTGGTTCAATTTTGTCTCCTCATTTAATAGCCTGTGTATATAGCCCTATATCATTTTATATAGCATCCCAGTTTTTGTTCATTATATTAGCCAAACATGATTAATAACGTTGTACATACATTTTGTATTTTCATCAATCGAGATTATTCCCTTACTTGGTACATTTCCAGTTGAGGATAGGAGAATGACTGACCAGCGCTATTGTCCAAGAGTTCATTATTTTCTCATTGTTGTGATAACTTAGTTTTGAGTGTGTGAGCACAAATGTACATACTTTATCTATATACTCCTTTAACTATACCAACATAATATACATAATTGATATTTATTACCCCCAGGTATCCAGTGTCTCACTAAGTAACACTCAATACTCCTCCAGTTATCAACATTATTCCTACCCATTTCTGTGGACCATCAATTCAACATCCTGGATTTCTTAATCACACTACCTTTATATACTGCTAAAACAAGTTTGTAAATTGATCGCTTTCATCAAGTATTCCGGAGCCAAATTACTTGGGATATTCATTCCATAAAGTCTGTTGTTTGAAATGTTGTGATCAAATATACAAAGCAATGCGTCCTGGTTGTAACTGAACAGTATTCAACCAACATTTAGTAGCGGTTACAAGTGAGTGGTGAATTTGAAGGGTTATTTTGTGAGACAGTTCAGTGGTAACTAAAGTATTATGTAATAGCCCTTGTGGTTCCGAGCTAATCAGTCACATAGCTTTGGTATTCCACAATGTTGTTTGTATTCCATTAAAAATTTGTATATTTTTGTGACAAAAAAAAAACAAGTGTCCTAATTCATCTATCAAATGAAAGAAATGTCTTAATGAACCAAGTGTGCTGCTGAATATCGCCCTGTCATGAAAATAAGTTCTAACTTTCCTTGAGAGCCCGTCTACAAAGGTGTGATTACACAAGGCTTGTCAGGCCCAGAGCTTGGTGGAAGTTCTGCTGATTCTATACCAACATCATTGTAGCTCGCCTTTTATTTATCTCGTGTCATTTCTGATTGCTATCCCTGAAGAATTCTGTATCCATGTTGACCTGACAATCTGTTCAATGTTTGTAGGATATGGAAAGGAGTAGACAGAAGGCATGAAGATCATATCGATATTTTAATTGATACAGCACAGGGTTATTGATAACATCTTATATTGTCAGTTATAACTTTGTAGGAGTATAATCAGACAAGAAAAATCTCCATCTGGAGAAATTTCCAGAGAACCACCATATTGCTAAGGTGTGTGTTGAGGTTCATCTTGTAGACTTGAGGAGGATACCTAGTGGTATATAGAGTTCTCTAGTAGTAAACAACAAAGAAGAGCCCCAGCTCCTCAGGTAGGTCAATAGTGTATTCTACTACAGCTAATTACCAGATACTAGGATATAGTACTGGCCCACCTGTCTACACGAGTTTGTACTCTTCTTTTTATGTGGGAGTATGTTACAATAATGTCATGCTCTCAGTTTTGATATAAACTACTGATACCAATAATTGGCAGGTTATCAAGATAATTATGCGACATGATATTGTTTTCTGTATAATTTACATGTTATCAGTGATATCTATATAATAACCTGTTAACACTAATTACTACATTTTATAACATGGATTGATAACTAGTTATCATTGATGTTATTAACAGCACACTTGATATAACCCAAAACTCTAAAACTCAGGTTAAATCCAACGTCAAGTCAACAAATGTCAGTGTAACATTTATATTTTGCATAAATAAAGCAAAATATTAAAGTGAGTTATTGTTTATTTGTTTCTGAATCATTACATGTTTCTATAACTGAAATAAGGATTTGCAATCCAGACTTATCACCAGACAGACACAGCTCAGACTCCCCACACAAACACAGCTCAGACTCCCCAGACAGACACAGCTCAGACTCCCCAGACAGACACAGCTCAGACTCCCCAGACAGACACAGCTCAGACTCCCCAGACAGACACAGCTCAGACTCCCCACACAAACACAGCTCAGTCCACACATCCTACAGTCAGATATACCCACTACAGATATAGTCCACACTCCCTACAGCCAGACATACCCACCACATATATAGTCCACACTCCCTACAGCCAGACATACCCACTACAGATATAGTCCACACTCCCTACAGCCAGACATACCCAGCTCATACTAGTCCACACAGACACAGCTCAGACTCCCCACCACATACACAGCTCACACTCCCCATACAGCACAGACATACTCCACACACAGACATAGTCCACACTCAGACACAGCCAGACATACCCACTACAGTTACACAGTCCACACTCCCTACAGTCACACATAGCCACTACAGATATACTCCACACTCAAACACAGCTCAGACATACCCACTACAGATATAGTCCACACTCCCTACAGCCAGACATACCCACTACAGATATAGTCCACACACCCTACAGCCAGACAGTTCATACCCACCCACTACAGATATAGTCCACACTCCCTACAGCCAGACATACCCACTACAGATATAGTCCACACTCCCTACAGCCAGACATACCCACTACAGATATAGTCCACACTCCCTACAGTCAGACATACCCACTACAGACATAGTCCACACACCCTACAACCAGACATAGACTATATGAGTCCATACATACAGGTGGCCATCTTGGATTTAAACAATGACAATTTGTTATCCTATTTTACGTGATACAATATATGGATCTCATATAACGTTCCCTTTGGTCCCTAGTGCTCCATTGATTTAGGGACAGACGGTGACAGGTGTCTGTCTGGATTTGTTTAAGATCATTATACCTATTTCTTCGAATTAATGCTCAAATTTCGTATCATGAAGAGCAAAACCAGAGGTGAGGGGAAAAGATTTAACTTTAAAGAACTAGTAAAGATCAAACAAGGGTGGTTGTCATGGTTCCTGGGGGATCTCTTGTTGAAGTAGACAGCTCAGACATGGAAAGAAAAGGAAATGAAATGAAATGGCTATACATGTTGAAAATATTTATATTTGTAACTTTAGATGCGAGATATAATCCATCACATTCAAAACAAGCACTTTTATAGAATCAATAGCCAATTTTGAAATCATGTTTCTTGAATCCACTAAAATTTGTGCAAAATGAACAATACACGAAATTCAAATTTTCAAATCAAAGGATTGCCATTAGTACTGGATATTGAAAACTACTTTACAACAGATTATAAATGGTTTATTTTGCTGTGTAAATTCACACAAAAAAATAAAGGTCCAAAGTTGTGCATAATACGTAGCTATAGATTTGTTCGTAAAAAAAGACCAAAGACGTTGCCAAGGCGCCATGATTGATTGTCGGATGACCTGCTACATAAGAATTTATGAGCAACAGAAGTAAGTTAATCTGTTTCTTTATTATATTAATGCAGACTTTCCTAGTCGACATCATCCAAAATCAAGGTGTTTAAAAACGTGATAGTAACTAGCCAGATAGGAAATTACCGATTGGTAAAGACAGATGTTTTACAGGTGTGTTTATGATGATCTTGTCTCTAGTCATATTGCTTATTTTTAAATATATCTCCTGGAGACTACTTCCGACTATTGCTGTCACTGTTTATCACTTGTTGTCTGCTGTTAGATAAACCGCTAAGACTTGAAGTCAATGATCCCATCACTTTTTGTTGGTTGTGTGGAGAATTTCATATTTAATTTCCAGTTTGCTTGATTGTTCATCGATTTAAATTTCATCCAGCTCGAATTCTTTTAATAGATTAACAACCTGTTGATTGTACGCTGGCTGCTGGTGTAATTTAATCTTATCCCTATACACAGTTTTCCTATTACCCTCAGCTAGTTTACTGGGAGGAAAAGTTCATCCTAAAGTTTCTGTCCTAACCATATCTTTTAGAATTAGTTTCTCTCGCCGAAGTTGTATTAGCCAATAGCCCGAAGTTGTAATAGCCAATAGCCCGAATCTGCTAGTAAACTGATTGACAGTGTGTTTTTGATAGCTCCTATCGCTATTTTTTAAAGCGATGTGTGTATTTTTACATGTTGGTTCCATGATAGTTTTGGGTCCAAAATCATGATAAGATATTTGGTCTGTTAAAGTACTCAGTGTGCTTGTCGCCTAGATATAGTTTTGTTTTTGTTTTTGTTTTTTTTGTTTTTTGTTTTTAGTTTTCTAGAGAAGGATATAGCAACAGTTTTTTCTTTGAAATTTTGAATCCTCATCCCTCAGCCCAATCTTGAATTAAGTCTAAGGTTTTCTGAGTGGTCCTGTCATTATCTGTGATAACTCTGAATTAGGTCTAAAGTTTACTTAATTGTCCTGTCATTATCTGTGATAACTCTGAATTAGGTCTAAAGTTTTCTGAGTGGTCCTGTCATTATCTGTGATAACTTTGAATTAGGTCTAAAGTTTTCTGAATGGTCCTGTCATTATCTGTGATAACTCTGAATTAGGTCTAAAGTTTACTTAATTGTCCTGTCATTATCTGTGATAACTCTGAATTAGGTCTAAAGTTTTCTGAGTGGTCCTGTCATTATCTGTGATAACTCTGAATTAGGTCTAAAGTTTACTTAATTGTCCTGTCATTATCTGTGATAACTCTGAATTAGGTCTACAGTTTTCTGAGTGGTCCTGTCATTATCTGTGATAACTCTGAATTAGGTCTACAGTTTTCTGAGTGGTCCTGTCATTATCTGTGATAACTCTGAATTAGGTCTAAAGTTTTCTGAGTGGTCCTGTCATTATCTGTGATAACTCTGAATTAGGTCTAAAGTTTACTTAATTGTCCTGTCATTATCTGTGATAACTCTGAATTAGGTCTACAGTTTTCTGAGTGGTCCTGTCATTATCTGTGATAACTCTGAATTAGGTCTACAGTTTTCTGAGTGGTCCTGTCATTATCTGTGATAACTCTGAATTAGGTCTAAAGTTTTCTGAGTGGTCCTGTCATTATCTGTGATAACTCTGAATTAGGTCTACAGTTTTCTGAGTGGTCCTGTCATTATCTGTGATAACTCTGAATTAGGTCTAAAGTTTTCTGAGTGGTCCTGTCATTATCTGTGATAACTCTGAATTAGGTCTAAAGTTTTCTGAATGGTCCTGTCATTATCTGTGATAACTCTGAATTAGGTCTAAAGTTTTCTGAATGGTCCTGTCATTATCTGTGATAACTCTGAATTAGGTCTAAAGTTTTCTGAGTGGTCCTGTCATTATCTGTGATAACTCTGAATTAGGTCTAAAGTTTTCTGAGTGACCCTGCCATTATCTGTGATAACTTTGTTAGTATACCAAATACAGGTATCATCTGCGAACTGGGCCATGTTAGTTAATTTGTTGGTGTGGGAATTTTTTCAAAGATGTTGATTAAGTTTATTTATAAAGATATTAAACAGAGTAGGGGAGATAACACTACCCTGATGGACATCGTTATCTAGAGGTTTCTGCTCTGAGCTAGAGTTGTTTACCATTACCTGAATTTTTCTGTCTTTCAAAAATTGTGTAATGAATCTTAAGATGTAACCAGTGATGCCAATTTCTTTCAAGGTATATTAAAAGTCCTTCATCCCAGACTAGATCATAAGCCTTTTCGAGGTCTAAAAATACTGCTATAGCATGATGGCTTTAGCTAGGTGAGTTTTAAACCTCTGACGTGAGTCTGACTAGTGAGTCTTGTGTTGACCTGTTGTATAGAATTGGTAGTAACAAGCAGTTCTAAAGACTGTGAAAATAGGCTGAAACTGAAGCTGCGTTACGATTAGCCTAAAAGCACGAGGTCTGATGAGCTTAAATCACTTTCCGTTCTGCAGCTTGGAAAAAAGTCATTTTGAAGTCGAAATCCCATTCACCAACCATGCTACTAAATAAATTCCATGGCCCGCAGCCTATTGGTTATTGAAAAGAAGTTAAAAGTTCTTACAACAATTTTTCTTCGTCACATTATGCTTTAGGCCCACTATCATAGCAAGAAACTTGGCCTGACAACATTTCATCATAACATACTACATGCCCAATTTCAGAAGCCTGGACCTTTTGATAAGAATTAGATATTTGAAGATTTAGACATAGATGATTCTTGTGATGATGAAAGGAGGTCAAGGTCAATCAACCAACATAGTAACTCTTTATCCCAGGTTATTACAGACTCAAAATCAGTACCTTGTATATTTCAAGAATGAGTCATTAAAAGGTGGAAATGGGTGGTCGGGTACCACAATGGTAACGCACTCTCCTTTCACCTAGACGTCCTGGGTTCGATTCCCGGAACATACGTGAAAAGGTATGGGGTCATCTGCCCGACCACGTGGGTTTTTCCCGGGTACTCTGGTTTCCTCCCACACTAAGCTTCCATCCGAGCCAACAAGATTGATAAATATAAGTATGAAAAACTTGATTCGCAATTGTTGTAAAATAAACAAAGTTTATTATTATAAAAGGTAGAAGTATGAAGCCGACTAACAGACATATTTATTATATCAATCTTCACTTTTTTGTCATAGATTATAACAATAAGCAACTGACTGCAATAAGGGTTACAACAATGCCCGTATGTACACCTTTGGTTCCGTTGTTTCCCGTTTTCTCTGTGGGAACCACACATCACTTATTTGGATTGATCGATATGGCGGTACAACATAATTTCATTTGCCTTTCAGGCACGTGAGTCAAAAAACCAATTCAACATAGTTTGGAATATAATCTCTTTATTACATTGTTAATTTTACATGAAATATTCAAATGTATCAGACATTGTCCAGGCTTAAAGCTCAAAAAAGGTTAAATAACAATACACAAGTTACTAATCTGATTAATCATTAATAGTTTGTAATTTATAAGAAAGTTCTTAATAAAATATAATCAATTTAACTACTGCATTAACCAACACTTAACTACCAAATACTGACACTGAACAGTGTCTGTTAGGCTTATAGAGCTAAACAGCCAACGATTAATGGCCTGCATCACTCACCGGGTATTCAAGCTGTTACAAAATACGTTAAAAGTTGAGAAGATTTTAACAAATTTCAGAGGTTACTTTTTCAGAAAATTTGTCTGAAAAGAAATGAACCCAAAGCTCGTATTCAAGGTCACTTTTTCAAAAAGCCTGCAATAATGATATGTATTTTTGGATGGTTTGAACCTGGGATGAAGACTTTTGATAAGAAATGACCTTGACCTACATTCAGGGTAAAAGAGGTCAAATTTCTGACATCTTTAACAAAAATTCTCAATAACGAAAGGCTTGGAATTATGATGTTTTTTCTGGAAGGTGATGATGACCAACAACGTTTATGAAAAGAAATAACACTGACCCATACAGGGGTCGAATAATTTGTGAAAACATTCAATCAACTTGTTCCCACTAATCAGAATCTTGAAATTTGCCGCCGGTAGGTTCCTGTGGGTCGTCAAATAATTGACCGTGATTCATACTCAAGTTCACTATGGTCAAATTTCTTAAAAACCTTCAAATGCTTTCTTCTTATGAACCGAAAGGCCTAGAATCATGTTTGACAGGTTTTGGTTATGAAGCCCAACATTTTCCAGAAAGACACATACTGACTGGAATGTCAGTGATGTGGAAAGGCTTTGGATACCTGGTGACCAATGTAGTGGTACAGTCCTCTTTCCCCAGCCACCTCTCATCATTTACATGTTCAATATTTAAACAATAAAACATTGTTGAAATTTCAGATATTGCAAAAAAACATGGTAACTAGATTGCAATGATAAGGAGAAATTCCTCTGACACTTGTATTTGTAGAATTGTATATGAAAATATTCTTTTAAAAGAACAATATGATACACAGGTTTTGATAGAGTTTCTCTCAAACATTCAGCAATCATAAAAACATATACCTCTTTCCCAGTTTATTCTATGTTATTGGGCTTAAATGAATATATAGACTCTCTTTAATATCAAACACTGTCCCATAGACAAGCTACAGAACACTGTCATACAGACAAGCTACAGTGCACTGTCATACAGACAAGCTACAGTACACTGTCCCACAGACAAGCTACAGAACACTGTCCCACAGACAAGCTACAGAACACTGTCCCATAGACAAGCTACACAACACTGTCCCATAGACAAGCTACAGAACACTGTCTCACAGACAAGCTATAGAACACTTTCCCACAGACAATCTACAGAACACTGTCCCATAGACAAGCTACACAACACTGTCCCATAGACAAGCTACAGAACACTGTCTCACAGACAAGCTATAGAACACTTTCCCACAGACAAGCTACAGAACACTGTCCCATAGACAATCTACAGAACACTGTCCCACAGACAAGCTACAGAACACTGTCCCACAGACAAGCTACAGAACACTGTCCCACAGACAAGCTACAGAACACTGTCCCAAGGACAATTGAATAGACCAGTTACAGAACACTGTTCCGTAAACATTTAAGTTGAAAATATAGTTCCCTGTCCTATTCAAAATACCCGTCCTGTTAGTTAGATATACAGTCTACTATGATATTGTGAACTTCAATCACAAAGCCTATAGTTTAGTGAATGTTGCACCTCTTTCGTCTGAAAATGTCGGATTTTGGTGCCCAGCTGATCTTCCATTGAAATTTGGATCTTGTTTCTGGTCAGTGTATTGCATGGGGACTTCTTTAGATTTAGGCGGCTCTTGTCTCCCATCCAATGTACGGAGGTCTTTTTCAGTCCAGTATTCCACAAGACTTTCTTCCCCTCTATCCTGGCTACGAAACTGATGGGGCCGCAGACCACAAGGCTTCAACATACGACGGGCCACCTGAAACAGTGTCACAATATCAAAATATTATAGTCTTCATTTACCGGATACAAAGCATCGAATATTACTACATTATCATCCTTCTATAGACTAATCTCATACAGAAGATATGAGGTTGCTTACCTCACCTGTAAGATGATATAAAAGATTAGAGGTATTGTATCTTACCTCAGTTATAGTACGATACAGAAGGAGTGAGGGTAGTGTATCTTACCTCAGTTATAGTACGATACAGTAGGGTAGTGTATCTTACCTCAGTTATAGTACGATACAGAAGGAGTGAGGTATTGTATCGTACCTCGGTTATAGTACGATACAGTAGGGTAGTGTATCTTACCTCAGTTATAGTACGATACAGAAGGAGTGAGGGTAGTGTATCTTACCTCAGTTATAGTACAATACAGAAGGAGTGAGGGTAGTGTATCTTACCTCAGTTATAGTACGATACAGTAGGGTAGTGTATCTTACCTCAGTTATAGTACGATACAGAAGGAGTGAGGGTAGTGTATCTTACCTCAGTTATAGTACGATACAGCAGGGTAGGGTATCTTACCTCACTTATTGGATGATCCCGACTGTAGATGTACAACTTGAATAATGCTGTCAATGGTATCCAGACAGCTGCAAAGGCAGCCATAGTCCAACCAATGCCAACTGCCCACTGTGGATACACGTAAGTAGAGTCTGGCCTCCGGTAGTCCAGTTCAGCATAGTTAATGGCGCTCATCACAAATATACTCTGTAAAAAAACACTCATAATGTTAACATACAAATGATAAACAGCTAACACAATAATTGTAAGTAAAAATGGGAAGGAACTAGCTCATAAATATTAAGAATGGTAAGAATGCTCCCAAAAATGACTGTATTGAGCACACGAAATTATAACAAAGGGCAATAATTCTGTAATTAAGTGGTTGTTGGCCCTGAATTTTGTATATTAAGCATTCTTTTAATATGCCAAATAATTACACCACACTTTCACGATCCTTGTTCAAATGCAGTCAAAGCAATGCTCTGGACACAAAATTTGAACAAAGGGCAATGTGGGATCGAAGGCCCTGAATTTGGTGCACATCACCTCCACCAATGTGTACTATCTGCACAATCTGTTATAGTAAGGACAATCCAACATAATGCATGTATTCACCATACAGAATGTGGGAGACAGCACTGTCACACATATAACATGTACTCACCATACAGAAGGTGGGAGACGGCACTGTCCCACATATAACATGTACTCACCATACAGAAGGTGGGAGACAGCACTGTCCCACATATAACATGTACTCACCATACAGAAGGTGGGAGACAGCACTGTCCCACATATAACATGTACTCACCATACAGAAGGTGGGAGACAGCACTGTCCCACATATAACATGTACTCACCATACAGAAGGTGGGAGACAGCACTGTCCCACATATAACATGTACTCACCATACAGAAGGTGGGAGACGGCACTGTCCCACATATAACATGTACTCACCATACAGAAGGTGGGAGACGGCACTGTCCCACATATAACATGTACTCACCATACAGAAGGTGGGAGACAGCACTGTCCCACATATAACATGTACTCACCATACAGAAGGTGGGAGACAGCACTGTCCCACATATAACATGTACTCACCATACAGAAGGTGGGAGACAGCACTGTCCCACATATAACATGTACTCACCATACAGAAGGTGGGAGACAGCACTGTCCCACATATAACATGTACTCACCATACAGAAGGTGGGAGACAGCACTGTCCCACATATAACATGTACTCACCATACAGAAGGTGGGAGACAGCACTGTCCCACATATAACATGTACTCACCATACAGAAGGTGGGAGACAGCACTGTCCCACATATAACATGTACTCACCATACAGAAGGTGGGAGACAGCACTGTCCCACATATAACATGTACTCACCATACAGAAGGTGGGAGACAGCACTGTCCCACATATAACATGTACTCACCATACAGAAGGTGGGAGACAGCACTGTCCCACATATAACACGTACTCACCATACAGAAGGTGGGAGACAGCACTGTCCCACATATAACACGTACTCACCATACAGAAGGTGGGAGACAGCACTGTCCCACATATAACACGTACTCACCATACAGAAGATGGGAGACAGCACTGTCCAACATATAACACGTACTCACCATACAGAAGATGGGAGACAGCACTGTCCAACATATAACACGTACTCACCATACAGAAGATGGGAGACAGCACTGTCCCACATATAACACGTACTCACCATACAGAAGATGGGAGACAGCACTGTCCAACATATACCCATAAAAGGATTGATCCTGAATCCCATCATCATTTCTATGTTGTCATAGAAACGCTTTATTCCTAAAACAAACCAGAAATACTCCTTCAAAGAACCGCCTACATATCACTGACCGTTTATACTAAGGGTCGTTTATACTACTGACCGTTTATATTACTGACCGTTTATACTACTGACCGTTTATACTACTGTTCGTTTATATTACTGACCGTTTATATTACTGACCGTGTATACTACTGGTCGTTTATACTAGTGACCGTTTATACTAATGGTCGTTTATACTACTGGTCGTTTATACTACTGACCGTTTATACAACTGACCGTTTATAACCGTTTATACTACTGGTCGTTTATACTACTGACCGTTTATATTACTGGCCGTTTATATTGCTGACCGTTTATACTACTGACCGTTTATACTACTGACCGTTTATACTACTGGTCGTTTATATTACTGACCGTTTATACTACTGACCGTTTATACTACTGGTCGTTTATACTACTGACCGTTTATACTACTGACCGTTTATATACTACTGACCGTTTATACTACTGGTCGTTTATACTAAGGGTCGTTTATATTACTGACCGTTTATACTAATGGTCGTTTATACTAATGGTCGTTTAAATGGTCGTTTATACTAATGGTCGTTTAAATGGTCGTTTATACTAATGGTCGTTTATACTACTGACCGTTTATACTACTGACCGTTTATACTAAGGGTCGTTTATACTGCTGGCCGTTTATACTGCTTATCATGGATACGTGTGGTATTGAAATGATGTACGCTTATCTAGAGAGAAACAGGAGTTAGTGAAGTTAAATAGATATACATAATGCTAAGCATGAGGGTGAATATTCTTAATCAAATATCAGAATTGTCGGGTCACTCATTCCTGGTTTTTCAATCAATGATCAAGCAGTATAAATCAGTTGTCATGAGCTATGTCTGAGTATGCGATCACATTTACAGTAAATATTCTTTCAGATTTTTTTTCGTGTGACTCGGTGCACCGTGTACTGATTAAGTACCGTATATCCAGGCGACGGCTACACACTCAAAGAAGGCAACAAACAGTATGATCCGACTGCCGGAGTAGTAGTCAAACAGCTGGAACACGTACATTCCTCCCTGAGAACAAAGAAAATAAATATTGGGTTTATAACAGGAACACGTACATTCCTCCCTGAGAACAAAGAAAATAAATATTAGGTTTATAACAGGAACACGTACATTCCTCCCTGATAACAGGAACACGTACATTCCTCCCTGAGAACAAAGAAAATAAATATTGGGTTTATAACAGGAACACGTACATTCCTCCCTGAGAACAAAGAAAATAAATATTGGGTTTATAACAGGAACACGTACATTCCTCCCTGAGAACAAAGAAAATAAATATTAGGTTTATAACAGGAACACGTACATTCCTCCCTGAGAACAAAGAAAATAAATATTGGGTTTATAACAGGAACACGTACATTCCTCCCTGAGAACAAAGAAAATAAATATTGGGTTTATAACAGGAACACGTACATTCCTCCCTGAGAACAAAGAAAATAAATATTGGGTTTATAACAGGAACACGTACATTCCTCCCTGAGAACAAAGAAAATAAATATTGGGTTTATAACAGGAACACGTACATTCCTCCCTGAGAACAAAGAAAATAAATATTGGGTTTATAACAGGAACACGTACATTCCTCCCTGAGAACAAAGAAAATAAATATTGGGTTTATAACAGGAACACGTACATTCCACTCTGAGAACAAAGAAAATAAATATTAGGTTTATAACAGGAACACGTACATTCCTCCCTGAGAACAAAGAAAATAAATATTGGGTTTATAACAGGAACACGTACATTCCTCCCTGAGAACAAAGAAAATAAATATTGGGTTTATAACAGGAACACGTACATTCCACTCTGAGAACAAAGAAAATAAATATTGGGTTTATAACAGGAACACGTACATTCCTCCCTGAGAACAAAGAAAATAAATATTGGGTTTATAACAGGAACACGTACATTCCACTCTGAGAACAAAGAAAATAAATATTGGGTTTATAACAGGAACACGTACATTCCACTCTGAGAACAAAGAAAATAAATATTGGGTTTATAACAGGAACACGTACATTCCACTCTGAGAACAAAGAAAATAAATATTGGGTTTATAACAGGAACACGTACATTCCACTCTGAGAACAAAGAAAATAAATATTAGGTTTATAACAGGAACACGTACATTCCACTCTGATAACAAAGAAAATAAATATTAGGTTTATAACAGGAACACGTACATTCCACTCTGAGAACAAAGAAAATAAATATTGGGTTTATAACAGGGAAACACCCATTTAACATTACAGGGAAACACCCATTGATTATTAAAGGGAAACACCCATTGATTATTACAGGGAAACACCCATTCAACCCTGCCAAGATCGAAAATAAAAGAAAGGTAAATTACAGGAACATTTTTATCCCTTACTGACAGAATAGAAAATAAATAACGGCTCTATGAAAGAGACAGGTACTTCTCGCCCTGACAGAATAGAAAATAAATAACGGCTTTATGAAAGAGACAGGTGCTTCTCGCCCTGACAGAATAGAAAATAAATAAAGGCTTTATGAAAGAGACAGGTACTTCTCGCCCTGATAAAATAGAAAATATATTATGGATAAATAATAGGAATACAGACACTCCACCTGGACAATTTAGAAAAATACACAATGGGCTTATTATAGGAACACGGACATCATGCCCTCACGACATGGAAGCTTTCAGAAATACGTTTGTAACAGGAACGTACATCCTAACTAGGCAAAATAGAAAATAATATAGAATGGTGAAATCATAGGAACATTTACATGCCACGATAACAAGATTGAAAAAGGATAATAGGCTTATCATCCAATGCTGACAAAATAAATAAAAAAGTGGGGAGGGGGGAGGGGTGGGGGGAGGGGTGGGGGTGGGGGGTGGGGGGGGGGGGGGTGTTGTAACAAGTAGATGTACTTACATACCCCATCCCTATAAGATAGGAAATGAATAACAGGTTTGTTTCAAAAAAGAAAATATGTAATAGTATACTTACAGGAAAACGTACAAGACAAGATAGAAAATAAAGTGTGTGTATCATAAACTCGCATGCATCCAATCCTGACGAAATGACAAAACAAGAAAATGTGTTTATTATAGGAACACGTGCATTCCACCCTGACAAGATAGAAATATGAGCTTGTGATAGGAACATAAACATCAGTCCCTAACCTGTTAGAAAATAGCATTTTTCAACAGGATCACGTGAAATAAGCAAGTGTATAGCAGGAAAATATACACTCTTTATTTTCAGGTTCCCAACATTCCCATTTTTATATCATTTTCTGGACTTAAACATGTAGCGGACAGGTCACCATTGTGACGGACGAGGATCCAACGTTGTTTTCATATATACCTGAATAGTGAGTCCATTTTTTCTATAAAATCAAATGTCGATTATATAAAAGAAAGTCATTTACATGTTTTATTGATGTAGTTTAAGTTTTGAAACAAGTGAGAGTTTATTTGTGTGCTCACATCATACCATTTCCAGTGACATTTTCGTGTTGTTTTCGCAATTTCAATTCACTCAGATACCACAAAGAGCTTCAAAATGTCACCGCTCCGACACCTCAAAACTTCATTCACTCATATCAAGCCAAGAGTGTCCTAAACGTCATCACTTCAGGATCACCAAGAGATTTAAGATGGCATTCACATTCACTCAAATAGGACCGAGAGCTCAAAATGTCATTCATTCATATTCCACCGAGGTAAAGGGTTTATTACTCTGAGACCTTCTACAGTCTTCAAACGTCATTCATTCAAGTACCACCGAAAGCTCCAAAACGTCATCATTCTGAGACCATTTATCATGAAAACGTTTTAGACTATCAGTCTTCAAAACGTTAACACTTCGGGACCGGCAATCATCAAATATCATCACTGACAGACCGTCTATTGTCAAAGCGTCAACACTTCGAGACCACTAGACATCAAATATCATCACTGACAGACCGTCTATCGTCAAAGCGCCAACACTTCGAGACCACTGGACATCAAAACGTCATCACTGACAGACCGTCTATTGTCAAAGCGCCAACACTTCGAGACCACTAGACATCAAAACGTCATCACTGACAGACCGGCCAACACTTCGACATCAAAACAAAACGTCATCACTGACAGACCGTCTAAAGCGCCAACACTTGTCAAAGCGCCAAAGCGCCAACACTTCGAGACCACTGGACATCAAAACGTCATCACTGACAGACCGTCTATTGTCAAAGCGTCAACACTTCGAGACCACTAGACATCAAAGCGTCAACACTTCGAGACCACTAGACATCAAAACATCAACACTTCGAGACCACTGGACATCAAACATCATCACTACGATCCCAACAATCGTCAAAACGTCAACACTTCGAGACCGGCAATCGTGAAACGTTATTACTGTGAGACCATCGAGAACCTTGGAAGATTATACATAACATATGTACTTCAGTATACCTGTGTATAGCGACACTAAACATGGATACCTACCTCTGTCACCATGGAGAGCCCGACCAGATAGGAAACAGCGCACACGCAGCCAATGAAAACCTCCTTCCTGTATCCTTTCCTCAGATAGTTCGGCCACTGGTCAACTATAGCAGTCACCACGCCTTCTACCCCAACAAACTGTTGACACAAAAACATATATCATTTTTCTTTTAAGAACACATTAGGAGAATCGCATCTACTTTACGGCGGAACATCAGATGATATATACTTGTCGTAGAATGTTAAGGATCTTAAATATATGTGATTTTCTGTCATTAAAATAATTTAGCTTAACATCTCTGACCCCTGTTTTATCGCCAATTTATGTACAATAACTTTTCGGTAACGATTTGCCCGTACTACCTACAGTAAGCGTGCGGGAAGACATCATGTAACAAAGGCTTAAAACCAAACTGTCCATGGTAGTTTTATTGGATATCTGTGTGGACGACTTGACGTCAAATGAATCAACGAGTTCTGTGTTTCTTCGGAATGTCCTGTCATTTTGCATCCTACTTTGAACATTTGTTAGCATGAGACGTCACATGACAGCGGCAGATACTGGTCGAGCAGTCGGGATGCTGCAAGCAGGATAATCACAACGAACTGTGGCTGCACACATCAATGTGTCACAGTGTCGTTCGATTTGATTACAGATGGCCAAAAACGTTACCGAGAGACCTCAATCGGGTAGACTACGGTATACGACAGTCCGTCAAAATTGTTATTTTAGCACTCCTAAAAGGCGAGATTGGTTTGCAAGCTCCACTAAATTGTCTAACGACGTCTATCAAGCAACTGGGAAAAAAATCAGCACAGACAATGAGGAATAGACTTCACCCGCTGTACGCCCTCGACCGCTGTACACCTTCGACTCACAAGCCGTCATTGTATGGCTCGGCAGCATTGGGCAGCTGTTCACGTGAATTTTGACGCCACTTCTTTTTTTGCTGATGATTGCAGGATTTGCGTGGATTTTCACGATCGAAGGAGGTGCGTTTGACGTGAGGTGGGTGAGAGATATGCTGACTGCTTGACCGTTTCGGTGGGAGCTCGGTATTGGTTTGGTCAGGGATCAGTTTTGGTGGTCGGACTAACTTTTACGTGATTGGAGGTGGTAGCTACACAGGTTTACGGTTTCGGAATGAAATTCTTCATCCAATTTAAGACCCTTTGCCAGTGCTTTCGGCAAAATCGACAATGCTTTGACCACATGGACTTGTGAATAAGTACTTTCATGCAGAAACGAGCGAGTGTATGCACTGACCTAGTCTTTCATCCGATCTTGACCCGATCAAGCATGAGTGGATCGTCTGCCGCTTCCTGTCAACCGACAGGAGTTTGTTGATGCTATTTGACAAGTTTGGTCACGAATTCCACAAATGGCTACACAGCGCCTACTTCGAAGCATGTTAAACCGATGCCGTGCTCTTATTGAGGCCAATTGAGGATACACTCAGTCTGGAGAGTGTTGTTTATTCCACTGAAGCATTGTGAATTTGCAGCGCCATTGAGACTGTGACTTTGTGTTTGATGCAATCATACACGACACGCTTGAATGAAATTGATCAACAGTGTGTCAGAATTGCTTTCTTTTTGTTTGACTTCACTCTTGTATTTCATATATCTTTAAAAAGTTACTCCTATTTAGTTCACTCAGAAACAATGATAAGACGATCTACATGTATTTATGCCCTCTCTGTAATGTCAATGTCTACTTTTGTCATGTTTGTTTCAATCCTGAAAAGTTCCCCCACAGAGTCAATGTTTACTTCCTAATAGTGTGACTCAGGAAGATGGGGAGATGTTTCACCCTTGTAATGTTACCCATGTAGAATCAGTGTTTAGTGTTTAGATTGACTCAGGAAGATGGGGAGATGTTTCACCCTTGTAATGTTACCCGTGTAGAGTCAGTGTTTAGTGTTTAGATTGACTCAGGAAGATGGGGAGATGTTTCACCCTTGTAATGTTACCCGTGTAGAGTCAGTGTTTAGTGTTTAGATTGACTCAGGAAGATGGGGAGATGTTTCACCCTTGTAATGTTACCCGTGTAGAGTCAGTGTTTAGTGTTTAGATTGACTCAGGAAGATGGGGAGATGTTTCACCCTTGTAATGTTACCCGTGTAGAGTCAGTGTTAAGTGATTAGATTGACTCAGGAAGATGGGGAGATGTTTCACCCTTGTAATGTTACCCGTGTAGAGTCAGTGTTAAGTGATTAGATTGACTCAGGAAGATGGGGAGATGTTTCACCCTTGTAATGTTACCCGTGTAGAGTCAGTGTTTAGTGTTTAGATTGACTCAGGAAGATGGGGAGATGTTTCACCCTTGTAATGTTACCCGTGTAGAGTCAGTGTTAAGTGATTAGATTGACTCAGGAAGATGGGGAGATGTTTCACCCTTGTAATGTTACCCGTGTAGAGTCAGTGTTAAGTGATTAGATTGACTCAGGAAGATGGGGAGATGTTTCACCCTTGTAATGTTACCCGTGTAGAGTCAGTGTTAAGTGATTAGATTGACTCAGGAAGATGGGGAGATGTTTCACCCTTGTAATGTTACCCGTGTAGAGTCAGTGTTAAGTGATTAGATTGACTCAGGAAGATGGGGAGATGTTTCACCCTTGTAATGTTACCCGTGTAGAGTCAGTGTTAAGTGATTAGATTGACTCAGGAAGATGGGGAGATGTTTCACCCTTGTAATGTTACCCGTGTAGAGTCAGTGTTTAGTGTTTAGATTGACTCAGGAAGATGGGGAGATGTTTCACCCTTGTAATGTTACCCGCAGATAATCAGTGTTTAGTGATTCACTTGATTCCAGCACATTTGACAGATGTTTGCTCACGATTTAGCTACCCATGGGACGTCACTGTTTAGTTTGGTACGTTAACATCCTGGTAATATTCATCCTATAGTTTAATCTCGAACCTGGACATGTTCTTCTCTTGTTCTCTTGATTCGATGTTCTCTTCCTTTTGTAAACATGGAAGATCTGGTTTTCATCTGTTGATTTTCCCAAAAAATGTGAAGGTTTACTCAAGTTTGTCTGGGAAATATAGCTGAGATGTTTTACTCCCGGTCTGGTTAACTCTTTTTAGTCAATATTTACTGCTGTTTAGTTGGCTCTATGTAAGACGTTTTACAGCTAAGTACACTGTGTCATTGCGTATCGGTACCCGCCTGCCCTCTTCCTATTCTACATGATTAATTTTTCTCATATGAATAAAGCTCTATGAGGTGTCTTGTTACCACTAGGACTACGGCTAAGAAAATTGATATAATCTGTGAATTACGTCATAATTTGCATACGAATATCTTGGTCTTAAATTTAAATGAAATTCTATCGTACATAAACCTTGACATCAACATAACAACAATGAAGGATACGCACCTGGCTGTCGAGACCAAGGAGGATCACCATCAGGAAGAAAAGAACGGACCAAACTGGCGCTCCAGGCATAAGTGATACGGCCTTGGGGTAGGCTATAAAAGCTAGACCTGGACCTACAAACAACACCGAAAATGGCCACATCAAACGATAACTATCACCAACTATGTCAAAAAACATTGAAAATATCAGTATATAAAGTATAAAGTATTAGATAAACCAAGATGTCAAATTTAAAATATCACAAATATTACAATGTCTAAGCTAGCATATCAGTATTATCACAGTGTCAATTTTAAATTAACGGAAATATCCCAAAAAATGTCCGAAATAAAAAATAAATAAAAATCAGAAATATTACAATGTAATACTTAACATATCAGAAATATTACAATGGAAAACTTAACATATCAGAAATATTACAATGTAATACTTAACATATCAGAAATATTACAATGTAATACTTAACATATCAGAAATATTACAATGTAAAACTTAACATATCAGAAATATTACAATGTAATACTTAACATATCAGAAATATTACAATGTAAAAATTAACATATCAGAAATATTTCAATGTAAAACTTAACATATCAGAAATATTACAATGTAATACTTAACATATCAGAAATATTACAATGTAAAACTTAACATATCAGAAATATTACAATGTAAAATTAACATATCAGAAATATTACAATGTAAAACTTAACATATCAGAAATATTACAATGTAAAAATTAACATATCAGAAATATTTCAATGTAAAACTTAACATATCAGAAATATTACAATGTAATACTTAACATATCAGAAATATTACAATGTAAAACTTAACATATCAGAAATATTACAATGTAAAATTAACATATCAGAAATATTACAATGTAAAACTTAACATATCAGAAATAATGTAGTTTATCTGGAATACAGGAGCATGATATAGAAACAGCTTCGAAGAACGACAACATGTTGGTACGTCTGTGAAAAATTGCTGCAGAGGGGGTTATCACTTCAGGTTACAAGTCACTTAGGATGAACTATAGATTGCTAAAATGATTAGACACCAAGCAGTGACAGTACGTCTTAATATACAATTATTTCTTTTAAATACATCACCATACAGGAAACTTAACGTATTTTCGTGTTCCTTTCATCTACATCAACATACCCGAGGCTGCTACCTTGTCAACCGTTGTTTCCTGTAGAAAGGCCATATGCCCTAATATGGTAAAGATGAGGAAACCAGCAAAGATACTTGTCCCACTATTTGCTAAAGCAAATATTATAGCGTCCCTGTAAAGAGGAAACCAGACAGTGACCAGCATTACCACACGGACATTCGTCAGTATTATATAAAATAATTTTTATATGTTACCTGTACGAGTTGTTTTGGAGTAAGTTAATCAATGAATTATTACCTGCATGAGTTGTTACCTGTATGAGTTGTTACCTGTATGAGTTGTTACCTGTTTGAGTTATTTCTGGTGTATGCTACATTTGTATTACCTTCATAAGTTATCGCTAATATGAATTGTTACCTGTATACGTCATCACTGGTATGAATTATTACCTGAATGAGTTGTTACCTGTATGAGTTGTTACCTGTATGAGTTGTCAGCTGTATAGGACATCACTTGGATGAATTATTACCTGTATGCGTTATTATTTGTATAAGATATTACCTGTATTTATCTATATGATCTGCTACCTGTATTTATCTATATGATCTGTTACCTGTATTTATCTATATGAGCTATTACCCGTATTTATCTATATGAGCTATTACCCGTATTTATCTATATGAGCTGTTACCTGTATTTATCTATATGAACAGTTACCTGTATTTATCTATATGAGCTGTTACCTGTATTTATCTATATGAACTGTTACCTGTATATATCTATATGAGCTGTTACCTGTATATATCTATATGAGCTGTTACCTGTATTTATCTATATGAGCTGTTACCTGTATTTATCTATATTTATCTATATGAACTGTTACCTGTATTTATCTTTGTAAATAGTTACTTGTATCTATCTATATGAACTGTTTCCTGTAATTATCTATATGAGCTGTTACCTGTATATATCTATATGAGCTGTTACCTGTATATATCTATATGAGCTGTTACCTGTATTTATCTATATGAACTGTTACCTGTATTTATCTTTGTAAATAGTTACTTGTATCTATCTATATGAACTGTTTCCTGTAATTATCTATATGAGCTGTTACCTGTATATATCTATATGAGCTGTTACCTGTATATATCTATATGAGCTGTTACCTGTAATTATCTATATGAGCTGTTACCTGTATATATCTTTGTAAATAGTTACCTGTATCTATCTATATGAACTGTTTCCTGTAATTATCTATATGAGCTGTTACCTGTATTTATCTTTGTAAATAGTTACCTGTATCTATCTATATGAACTGTTTCCTGTAATTATCTATATGAGCTGTTACCTGTATATATCTATATGAACTGTTTCCTGTATTTATCTATATGAACTGTTACCTGTATTTATCTTTGTAAATAGTTACTTGTATCTATCTATATGAACTGTTTCCTGTAATTATCTATATGAGCTGTTACCTGTATATATCTATATGAGCTGTTACCTGTATATATCTATATGAGCTGTTACCTGTATATATCTATATGATGTTACCTGTATATATCTATATGAGCTGTTACCTGTATATATCTATATGAGCTGTTACCTGTAATTATCTATATGAGCTGTTAACTGTATATATCTATATGAGCTGTTACCTGTATATATCTATATGAGCTGTTACCTGTATATATCTATATGAGCTGTTACCTGTAATTATCTATATGAGCTGTTACCTGTATATATCTTTGTAAATAGTTACTTGTATCTATCTATATGAACTGTTTCCTGTATTTATCTATATGAACTGTTACCTGTATTTATCTTTGTAAATAGTTACTTGTATCTATCTATATGAGCTGTTACCTGTATATATCTATATGAGCTGTTACCTGTATATATCTATATGAGCTGTTACCTGTAATTATCTATATGAGCTGTTACCTGTATATATCTTTGTAAATAGTTACTTGTATCTATCTATATGAACTGTTTCCTGTATTTATCTATATGAACTGTTACCTGTATTTATCTTTGTAAATAGTTACTTGTATCTATCTATATGAACTGTTTCCTGTAATTATCTATATGAGCTGTTACCTGTATATATCTATATGAGCTGGTTACCTGTATTTATCTATATAAACTGTTACCTGTATTTATCTTTGTAAATAGTTACTTGTATCTATTATATGAACTGTTTCCTGTAATTATCTATATGAGCTGTTACTTTATATATCTATATGAGCTGTTACCTGTATATATCTATATGAGCTGTTACCTGTATATATCTATATGAGCTGTTACCTGTATTTATCTATATGAACTGTTACCTGTATTTATCTTTGTAAATAGTTACTTGTATCTATCTATATGAACTGTTTCCTGTTACCTGTTACCTGTATATATCTATATGAGCTGTTACCTGTATATATCTATATGAGCTGTTACCTGTATATATCTATATGAGCTGTTACCTGTATTTATCTATATGAACTGTTACCTGTATTTATCTTTGTAAATAGTTACTTGTATCTATCTATATGAGCTGTTACCTGTAATTATCTATATGAGCTGTTAACTGTATATATCTATATGAGCTGTTACCTGTATATATCTATATGAGCTGTTACCTGTATATATCTATATGAGCTGTTACCTGTAATTATCTATATGAGCTGTTACCTGTATATATCTTTGTAAATAGTTACTTGTATCTATCTATATGAACTGTTTCCTGTATTTATCTATATGAACTGTTACCTGTATTTATCTTTGTAAATAGTTACTTGTATCTATCTATATGAGCTGTTACCTGTTACCTGTATATATCTATATGAGCTGGTTACCTGTATTTATCTATATGAACTGTTACCTGTATTTATCTTTGTAAATAGTTACTTGTATCTATCTATATGAACTGTTTCCTGTATTATCTATATGAGCTGTTACTTGTATATATCTATATGAGCTGTTACCTGTATATATCTATATGAGCTGTTACCTGTATATATCTATATGAGCTGTTACCTGTATTTATCTATATGAACTGTTACCTGTATTATCTTTGTAAATAGTTACTTGTATATATCTATATGAACTGTTTCCTGTATATATCTATATGAGCTGTTACCTGTATATATCTATATGAGCTGTTACCTGTATATATCTATATGAGCTGTTACCTGTATATATCTATATGAGCTGTTACCTGTATGAATTGTGATTGAAGAGATTGTAGCTGCCTAGAGCCGTCAGGGCTCCTATAGCGATGGAGTAAGAAAAGAAGATCTGTGTACCAGCATCGACCCACACCTGGAAATAGAAATCATTGCCTTATTTAAGGGGCTTACCTTCTGAAATTACAAAGTAATAATTAATTGATTTAACAATGGTAAAACATGCTAAAAATAAACGTTGCAGAAGAGTGAAAGATATTCATTAACGACTCGCACACATTATTCAAAGAGTAACGAAATGTTCTCAAAGAAAATGTAGGTCGGTGTATACGCAGATGTCATTTAACTTTATACTTAGTACATAGTGAAACCCGGCAGTATCAGTATCCTCCACACAACCAAATGGATACCAACTGGATATGAGAGCCCGGCGGTATCAGTGTCCCCCACACAACCAAATGGATACCACCTGGATATGAGAACCCGGCAGTATAAGTGTCCCCCACACAACCAAATGGATACCACCTGGATATGAGAACCCGGCGGTATCAGTATCCCCCACATAACCGAATGGATACCAACTGGATATGAGAACCCGGCGGTATCAGTGTCCCCCACACTACCAAATGGATATCAACTGGATATGAAAACCCGGCGGTATCAGTGTCCCTCACATACATACATAGCTTTCTAAAACTAAAAATATTTATCGATAGGCATCCATCGTAAAATTTCAAACATCTGTTGAAGGCGTATAGAATGGTACATTAAAAATAATCCTGGTTGCTTGTTTCTGCGCCTTAAGGAGCTATTAAATACCCAGAACGCCCTGTCATCATAGTGTTACAAACGGGAAGATATATGACTGGAAAAAATCTGAGTTTTCTTTCCATGTGTAGATATGATCTTATACGACGCAACATGCCTATTATTTAACTTATTTTGCCCGAAATAGATGAAATATGATCTGTCCATGTCGAAGGATTATCAGTAACAACACAAAGTAGTTCATCTCTCACAACCTGTCCCTGAGATTCGTTACACGAAGTAAGATCTAGATTTAAACATTCTTTTACCTTGTCTCTGTCTAGAAGCTATACACATACATCTGATATATATATATATATATATTTTTTTTTGGGGGCATTTACAATTAACTTATTTTCAACACACCATGCATGACCATTGCTTGAATCAGATTGTCGTGTGTTTTTGTTATCATATAGTCATGTGCCAGCAGCAAATAAAGTCGCCTTCATGCATATCTATATCAGCAAACACAGTATATCACAAATTTTTTATGAAATATCAAAGGACCTAAAATAGATCCTTGCAGGTCACCTTGAGTAACTTTACATGTATTTGACACGTGGCCAGCCATAGAAACTAACTAGGTCATATTGTCAAGATAAGACTGAAATCACAATAATGAACTCTGGTCAATTGTGTAATGAGAAAATTTCTCAAGTAAACAGAATGATTAACTAAATCGAGAACAGGAAATTCTCTAGTGTCCTTAGCATGTTGTCCAATCTACAGCTTTGTTAGGGAATACTGGTTAAGTCGACGACCTCGTACTAAATGCATGTTGTCCAATCTACAGCTTTGTTAGGGAATACTGGTTAAGTCGACGACCTCGTACTAAATGCATGTTGTCCAATCTACAGCTTTGTTAGGGAATACTGGTTAAGTCGACGACCTCGTACTAAAAGCATGTTGTCCAATCTACAGCTTTGTTAGGGAATACTGGTTAAGTCGGCGACCTCGACCTGTTGTCCAATCTACAGCTTTGTTAGCATACTGGTTAAGTCGTCCAAAAGCATGTTGTCCAATCTACAGCTTTGTTAGGGAATACTGGTTAAGTCGGCGACCTGGTACTAAAAGCATGTTGTCCAATCTACAGCTTTGTTAGGGAATACTGGTTAAGTCGGCGACCTGGTACTAAAAGCATGTTGTCCAATCTACAGCTTTGTTAGGGAATACTGGTTAAGTCGGCGACCTGGTACTAAATGCATGTTGTCCAATCTACAGCTTTGTTAGGGAATACTGGTTAAGTCGGCGACCTCGTACTAAAAGCATGTTGTCCAATCTACAGCTTTGTTAGGGAATACTGGTTAAGTCGGCGACCTCGTACTAAAAGCATGTTGTCCAATCTACAGCTTTGTTAGGGAATACTGGTTAAGTCGGCGACCTCGTACTAAATGCATGTTGTCCAATCTACAGCTTTGTTAGGGAATACTGGTTAAGTCGACGACCTCGTACTAAATGCATGTTGTCCAATCTACAGCTTTGTTAGGGAATACTGGTTAAGTCGACGACCTGGTACTAAATGCATGTTGTCCAATCTACAGCTTTGTTAGGGAATACTAAACCTCGTACTAAAAGCATGTTGTCCAATCTACAGCTTTGTTAGGGAATACTGGTTAAGTCGGCGACCTCGTACTAAAAGCATGTTGTCCAATCTACAGCTTTGTTAGGGAATACTGGTTAAGTCGGCGACCTCGTACTAAAAGCATGTTGTCCAATCTACAGCTTTGTTAGGGAATACTGGTTAAGTCGGCGACCTCGTACTAAATGCATGTTGTCCAATCTACAGCTTTGTTAGGGAATACTGGTTAAGTTGGCGACCTCGTACTAAATGCATGTTGTCCAATCTACAGCTTTGTTAGGGAATACTGGTTAAGTCGACGACCTCGTACTAAAAGCATGTTGTCCAATCTACAGCTTTGTTAGGGAATACTGGTTAAGTCGACGACCTCGTACTAAAAGCATGTTGTCCAATCTACAGCTTTGTTAGGGAATACTGGTTAAGTCGGCGACCTCGTACTAAATGCATGTTGTCCAATCTACAGCTTTGTTAGGGAATACTGGTTAAGTCGGCGACCTCGTACTAAATGCATGTTGTCCAATCTACAGCTTTGTTAGGGAATACTGGTTAAGTCGGCGACCTCGTACTAAAAGCATGTTGTCCAATCTACAGCTTTGTTAGGGAATACTGGTTAAGTCGGCGACCTCGTACTAAATGCATGTTGTCCAATCTACAGCTTTGTTAGGGAATACTGGTTAAGTCGACGACCTCGTACTAAAAGCATGTTGTCCAATCTACAGCTTTGTTAGGGTATACTGGTTAAGTCGACGACCTGGTTCTAAAAGCATGTTGTCCAATCTACAGCTTTGTTAGGGAATACTGGTTAAGTCGGCGACCTCGTACTAAATGCATGTTGTCCAATCTACAGCTTTGTTAGGGAATACTGAATTAGCCGGCGCCCTGGTTTTATTTCTAGGTTTATGAAGGGAGTTTTCCATGCAAATTCTCCCAAACCTGGAAATAAGGTGGTGTGGGATGTCTCTGTGTTGTTGAGATATTTGAAAACATTGTATCCAGAGCTGGGTTTGACAGTATAAACGTGAAGATTAATTTGTTAACTTTGATGTCAGCCTAGAGGGCTCAAACACTGGTCAGTTTAGATTTAGGCTGCATAAAAGATTTGGTGGACACTATCATTTTACCATTACAGCCTTAACGAACTTATTCAAGCCACATTCTGTTAGAGGAGCGGCCACATCCGCGGCTTTCGCAGGGGGCACACCTTTCGGAAATTCCATTTCATCTTGTACTTTTCTTCAAGTGTTTATAAATCTATTGTGGTTTGTTGTCAAACACTTTGAACGTGCAATTTAACCGGACAGCCGGAGGGCTGAATGGTAGAGAATCTCTCCCTCATCCAAACATCACCATGTAAGGCTTTCACCGGAGAATCCCACTCATCCATCTCCTGGTGATGTTTGGATGATGGGGACATCTTGCTCTACAGAGATATAACCTGATTACGTTGGGTATTTTTTACATATTGTTAAAAGGTCACCTTGACGTTAAAGTTCATCTCTAATCGTGATATTTTCGTCCTCAGAACGTGGTTAATCAATCGGAAAAATGTCCCCATAACTACGTATTTTCCAGACGTCTTTCTCTCTCTCTCATCACCAGCAACTAGCAACACGCATCGCTGTACCCTTTATCAAACACTGTTTTTCTTCAGTAAGTAATTAACAGCCTCCTGACCACCATCATGGGGAATATTAGTGTATAGATTGTCAACATCAACAGAAACAATTACATCAGACCTGTGTAGATAAGTACAAAATCTAAAACTCATCCTTAATGTTATTGTTTGCTTTTTTAAGCAACGGCTTAAGTATGAGCTCTAAAAATGACAAAAAAGTTAATACAAACACTTGCACAAGTTTTTTGTGTCAGTGTGTATGTATTTCACAGAATCTTCAATAAGTTTAGTTTCCATTTCACGCACGATTTGTGAAACTCGTCATGAATTATTCCATTTATCCAGTGTGAAGTTAGGAAAAACGAAAAAAAATTGACCAGTGTTTTAGTCATGTAAATCGTAATTGAAATAAAAACATGTTAGACTCTCTATATATTACCCGTCTGCCTTGGCGTTAAAATGGAATGGAAGTTATAACCTCACCTCTATCTCAGAGAGCTTGGTAATGTTTGGTTAAGTTTTCATCTCACCTCTATCTCAGAGAGCTTGGTAATGTTTGGTTAAGTTATCGCCTCACCTCTATCTCAGAGAGCTCGGTAATGTTTGGTTAAGTTATCGCCTCACCTCTATCTCAGAGAGCTCGGTAATCATATATCAAGTTATCGCCTCACCTCTATCTCAGAGAGCTTGGTAATGTTATGTTAAGTTATCACCTCACCTCTATCTCAGAGAGTTTGGTAATGTTTGGTTAAGTTATCGCCTCACCTCTATCTCAGAGAGCTTGGTAAAGTTATGTTAAGTTATAACCTCACCTCTATCTCAGAGAGCTTGGTAATGTTTGGTTAAGTTATCGTTTAACCTCTATCTCAGAGAGCTTGGTAATGTTTGGTTAAGTTATCGCCTCACCTCTATCTCAGAGAGCTTGGTAATGTTCGGTTAAGTTATCGCCTCACCTCTATCTCAGAGAGCTTGGTAATGTTCGGTTAAGTTATCGCCTCACCTCTATCTCAGAGAGCTCGGTAATGTTATATCAAGTTATCGCCTCACCTCTATCTCAGAGAGCTCGGTAATGTTTGGTTAAGTTATCGCCTCACCTCTATCTCAGAGAGCTTGGTAATGTTCGGTTAAGTTATCGCCTCACCTCTATCTCAGAGAGCTTGGTAATGTTCGGTTAAGTTATAACCTCACCTCTATCTCAGAGAGTTTGGTAATGTTTGGTTAAGTTATCGCCTCACCTCTATCTCAGAGAGCTTGGTAATGTTTGGTTAAGTTATCGCCTCACCTCTATCTCAGAGAGCTTGGTAATGTTTGGTTAAGTTATCGCCTCACCTCTATCTCAGAGAGCTTGGTAATGTTTGGTTAAGTTATCGTCTCACCTCTATCTCAGAGAGCTTGGTAATGTTTGGTTAAGTTATCGTCTAACCTCTATCTCAGAGAGCTTGGTAATGTTTGGTTAAGTTATCGTCTAACCTCTATCTCAGAGAGCTTGGTAATGTTATATCAAGTTATCGTCTAACCTCTATCTCAGAGAGCTTGGTAATGTTCGGTTAAGTTATAACCTCACCTCTATCTCAGAGAGTTTGGTAATGTTTGGTTAAGTTATCGTCTCACCTCTATCTCAGAGAGCTTGGTAATGTTATATCAAGTTATCGTCTAACCTCTATCTCAGAGAGCTTAATGTTCGGTTAAGTTATCGTAATGAGAGTTTGGTAATGTTTGGTTAAGTTATCGCCTCACCTCTATCTCAGAGAGCTTGGTAATGTTTGGTTAAGTTATCGCCTCACCTCTATCTCAGAGAGCTTGGTAATGTTTGGTTAAGTTATCGCCTCACCTCTATCTCAGAGAGCTTGGTAATGTTCGGTTAAGTTATAACCTCACCTCTATCTCAGAGAGCTTGGTAATGTTTGGTTAAGTTATCGTCTAACCTCTATCTCAGAGAGCTTGGTAATGTTATCGTCACCTCTATCTCAGAGAGCTTGGTAATGTGCGGTTAAGTTATCGTCTAACCTCTATCTCAGAGAGTTTGGTAATATTCGGTTAAGTTATCGTTTAACCTCTATCTCAGAGAGCTCGGTAATGTTTGGTTAAGTTATCGTCTCACCTCTATCTCAGAGAGCTTGGTAATGTTTGGTTAAGTTATCGTCTCACCTCTATCTCAGAGAGCTTGGTAATGTTCGGTTAAGTTATCGCCTCACCTCTATCTCAGAGAGCTTGGTAATGTTATATCAAGTTATCGTCTCACCTCTATCTCAGAGAGCTTGGTAATGTTTGGTTAAGTTATCGAGAGCTTGGTAATGTTATATCAAGTTATCGTCTAACCTCTATCTCAGAGAGCTTGGTAATGATCGGTTAAGTTATAACCTCACCTCTATCTCAGAGAGCTCGGTAATGTTATATCAAGTTATCGCCTCACCTCTATCTCAGAGAGCTCGGTAATCATATATCAAGTTATCGCCTCACCTCTATCTCAGAGAGCTCGGTAATGTTCGGTTAAGTTATCGTCTCACCTCTATCTCAGAGAGCTTGGTAATGTTCGGTTAAGTTATCGTCTAACCTCTATCTCAGAGAGCTTGGTAATGTTCGGTTAAGTTATCGTCTCACCTCTATCTCAGAGAGCTTGGTAATGTTCGGTTTGGTTAAGTTAAGAGAGCTATCGTTATAACCTCTATCTCAGAGAGCTTGGTAATGTTCGGTTAAGTTATCGTCTAACCTCTATCTCAGAGAGCTTGGTAATGTTCGGTTAAGTTATCGTCTCACCTCTATCTCAGAGAGCTTGGTAATGTTCGGTTAAGTTATCGCCTCACCTCTATCTCAGAGAGCTCGGTAATGTTCGGTTAAGTTATCGTCTCACCTCTATCTCAGAGAGCTTGGTAGAGAGCTTTATCGTTTAACCTCTTGGTAATGATCGGTTAAGTTATAACTCACCTCTATCTCAGAGAGCTATCACCTCACCTCTATCTCAGAGAGCTTGGTAATGTTCGGTTAAGTTATCGCCTCACCTCTATCTCAGAGAGCTTGGTAATCACATATCAAGTTATCGCCTAACCTCTATCTCAGAGAGCTTGGTAATCACATATCAAGTTATCGCCTCACCTCTATCTCAGAGAGCTTGGTAATGTTCGGTTAAGTTATCGCCTCACCTCTATCTCAGAGAGTTTGGTAATGTTTGGTTAAGTTATCGTTTAACCTCTATCTCAGAGAGCTTGGTAATGTTTGGTTAAGTTATCACCTCACCTCTATCTCAGAGAGTTTGGTAATGTTTGGTTAAGTTATCGTCTCACCTCTATCTCAGAGAGTTCGGTAATGTTTGGTTAAGTTATCGTCTAACCTCTATCTCAGAGAGCTTGGTAATGTTCGGTTAAGTTATCGTCTCACCTCTATCTCAGAGAGTTTGGTAATGTTTGGTTAAGTTATCGTCTAACCTCTATCTCAGAGAGCTTGGTAATGTTCGGTTAAGTTATCACCTCACCTCTATCTCAGAGAGCTTGGTAATGTTCGGCTTCAGGTAGAACTCCACACCGTCTATAGCACCGTCTAGCAGGGAGTTTCGTATCAACAGAGCCGTCATGAACAGGTATGGTGACGTAGCGGTGACGTACATGACCTAAAATAACATGACATTATAGGGTTTGTATATAAATACAGTTGGTCGGACCCTTATTTACAAATAAGAAAATACAGGAATGCTCTGAAACCATTGTGTTCTGAGTGTTCGCTATACTTGGGGAATTTACCTTACGATATCTGATATATTGATATCATTACACTGAAATATACCTCTAGTTTTATGTATTGGTATATATAGTTGTCGCAAACACAAAAACTACTGTTTGACTAGGTTTTCTCCTTTTAGGTCTGAATAAGTGAACAACTTATTTTACCTGGTTCGTTTTGAAGTGTTTGATTAATGAATTCTTCATATAATAAATATCTAATACAAAAGTGGTCGGATGCCGCAGTGGTAGCGCACCCGCCTTTCATCTAGACGTCCGGGTTCGATTCCTACAACGGATGTGAAAAGGTATGGGTCACTTGCCCGACTACGTGGGTTTTACCCGGGTACTCTGGACTCCTAGCTTAAAGCTTGTTTTCACATTTGTTGTAAAATATAGTTTATAAATAATACAGAAATGCGATTTGTATACCGGAACCTACGAGATATAAGATTTTAGACTGTAACAAAACAATAGATAAATGACTAGCGTCGTACCTTTCCGGAAGACCTGATCCCTTTACAGATACACAAATAGACGACAATCCAGGCAAACAGTAATGTGAGGGCCAGATCCCATTTGACGGGTCCCATGTGTTCTATACCGTCTGAAATGGCCAACACCTTCCGCCTGATAAAACATAAAATTCAGTCATGTCCCTGACGACAAAGCATGTTAAAATACAAGAACATCATAACGCAAACCTTTGTTAGTTAAAAAGTGAAATATTCTTTAAATCTTTAAATTGTAAGTCATTTGCTTACTTCCATGGTGAAGAATATCATTTCCAGATTTCCCGTGAAGTAAAAACAACACCGAAAGTAAATACAGCGCCGTCAAGAATTACCAGATTTTTCGTGAAGTAAAAACAACGCCGTCAAGAATTATCAGATTTCCCGTGAGTACAGCGCCGTCAAGAATTACCAGATTTCCCGTGAGTACAGCGCCGTCAAGAATTACCAGATTTCCCGTGAAGTAAATACAGCGCCGTCAAGAATTACCAGATTTCCCGTGAGTACAGCGCCGTCAAGAATTACCAGATTTCCCGTGAGTACAGCGCCGTCAAGAATTACTAGATTTCCCGTGAGTACAGCGCCGTCAAGAATTACCAGAATTCCCGTGAGTACAGCGCCGTCAAGAATTACCAGATTTCCCGTGAGTACAGCGCCGTCAAGTATTACTAGATTTCGGAGTTAGCGTCGTCCGGAATATCAGGTTGTCAGTCAGGACAATCTGTCAAGGAATAGAAGGCTGTCTATCGGAACAACGCCGTCACAATGACCTCACATTGTCCGTAAGAGTACAACGTCGTCAAAAATACTAAATTATAGACCGGATTTAATCGATGTCGATGAATACCAGATTATTCGTCTGATTACAAAGCCGCCAAGGATTCCAATCAGGGTGTACCAGATTGTCGGTCGGAATACATCCCAATCAGGGTGTACCAGATTGTCGGTCGGAATACATCCCAATCAAGGTGTACCAGATTGTCGGTCGGAATACATCCCAATCAGGGTGTACCAGATTGTCGGTCGGAATACATCCCAATCAGGGTGTACCAGATTGTCGGTCGGAATACATCCCAATCAGGGTGTACCAGATTGTCGGTCGGAATACATCCCAATCAGGGTGTACCAGATTGTCGGTCGGAATACATCCCAATCAGGGTGTACCAGATTGTCGGTCGGAATACATCGCAATCAGGGTGTACCAGATTGTCGGTCGGAATACATCGCAATCAGGGTGTACAAGATTGTCGGTCGGAATACATCCCAATCAAGGTGTACCAGATTGTCGGTCGAAATACATCGCAATCAAGGTGTACCAGATTGTAGGTCGGAACACATCCCAATCAGGGTGTACCAGATTGTCGGTCGGAATACATCCCAATCAGGGTGTACCAGATTGTCGGTCGGAATACATCCCAATCAGGGTGTACGAGGTTGTCGGTCGGAATACATCCCAATCAGGGTGTACCAGATTGTCGGTCGGAATACATCCCAATCAGGGTGTACCAGGTTGTCGATCGGAATACATCCCAATCAGGGTGTCGGTCGGAATACATCTTAATCAGGGTGTACCAGATTGTCGGTCGGAATACATCCCAATCAGGGTGTACCAGGTTGTCGGTCGGAATACATCCCAATCAGGGTGTACCAGATTGTCGGTCGGAATACATCCCAATCAGGGTGTACCAGATTGTCGGTCGGAATACATCCCAATCAGGGTGTACAATCAGGGTGTACCAGATTGTCGGTCGGAATACATCCCAATCAGGGTGTACCAGATTGTCGGTCGGAATACATCCCAATCAGGGTGTACCAGATTGTCGGTCGGAATACATCCCAATCAGGGTGTACCAGATTGTCGGTCGGAATACATCCCAATCAGGGTGTACCAGGTTGTCGGTCGGAATACATCCCAATCAGGGTGTACAAGATTGTCGGTCGGAATACATCCCAATCAAGGTGTACCAGATTGTCGGTCGAATACATCCCAGTCAGGGTGTACCAGGTTGTCGGTCGGAATACATCCCAATCAGGGTGTACCAGATTGTCGGTCGGAATACATCCCAATCAGGGTGTACCAGATTGTCGGTCGGAATACATCGCAATCAGGGTGTACAAGATTGTCGGTCGGAATACATCCCAATCAGGGTGTACCAGATTGTCGGTCGGAACACATCCCAATCAGGGTGTACCAGATTGTCGGTCGGAATACATCCCAATCAGGGTGTACCAGATTGTCGGTCGGAATACATCCCAATCAGGGTGTACCAGATTGTCGGTCGGAATACATCCCAATCAGGGTGTACAAGATTGTCGGTCGGAATACATTCCAATCAGGGTGTCGGTCGGAATACATCCCAATCAAGGTGTCGGTCGGAATACATTCCAATCAGGGTGTACCAGGTTGTCGGTCGGAATACATCCCAATCAAGGTGTACCAGATTGTCGGTCGGAATACATCCCAATCAGGGTGTACCAGATTGTCGGTCGGAATACATCCCAATCAGGGTATACCATGTTGTCGGTCGGAGTATACCGCCGTCAAAGTAATGCCAGATTGTCCGTCGGAGAACAGCGCCGTCAAGATCAAAAGAATTGTCAGTCGGAATAAAGCGCCGAAAAGGTAAAATAGATTATCTGTTGGGGTACAACGCCGTCAAGGAATTCAAGATGTCAGTCACAACAAAAATCTGTCAAGGAATGGCGGAGTATAACGTCTTGAAGGAATATAAAATCGTGTTTACAACGCCACCAAGGGATATCGTCCGCTGAAAGGTCGTAATAGTGGACGTAAAACCTGTTAATAAATAAAGTTAATAAACCATCAAGAGGTACCAGAAGGAGGTTCCATCAAAGTATAGCTTGGTAAACGGATACGGGATGGTCTGACGGGGTATATCGTCGCCGTGGAGTACCTAAGTGTCCCTACGAGTATAAATGTGTTAATGAACATGACATCTGTCCATCGTAAAGTTTTCATGTAATACCCGAGTATTGGCACAAAATAAATTGATATTTTCCCTGTTATTTGTACCGTAGTTATTCAATAATCTGACAAGAAACAACAAGACGACTTACTCCCAAAATTCGGTGACTGCGTCCAGCTTTTTCAGACCACTGACGGTGACATTACTGGTTATGTTACTGATGGTTACGTTGGTGTCGGTCTTCCCACTAAAGGTCGAACATCGATCGGTGTTCCACCAGTTGTTACAGGTGGCCCAGGGCAGCTCCAGGGCAAATGAACTGAACATGTAGTAGAAGGCCCAGCACAGAATCACATTGTAGTAACAGTTGAGGAAGAACACAATGATTGTCGTAGATATGCCTAGTCCTGCAAAGACAGAGCCAGTTCTTAATCATGATAACGAGTCAGTGAGGAACCTTATTGATAAAGACAGAGCCAGTTCTTAATCATGATAACGAGTCAGTGAGGAACCTTATTGATAAAGACAGAGCCAGTTCTTAATCATGATAACGAGTCAGTGAGGAACCTTATTGATAAAGACAGAGCCAGTTCTTAATCATGATAACGAGTCAGTGAGGAACCTTATTGATGAAGCTGACATGGAGTACAACAACTAAAAACACGAGAATTCAAATTAATGAAACTGTTGCGAGGACGAAAAACAAACTAAAAACTATAACAGCGTCAAATTTTGGAAAGAAACGCCATTTTTCTCGATTATATCGTCTTGAAGTCTGCTTCTACGTATATCATTATCATTAGTAACCACGTGTTCATTTTCCATTTTTTAACAAATTCGCAGATTTATGCGAAAACTAGGTTTTAAGACACTTAGTCCATATGACCGATGAGCTAATGTAATACTGCGGCATCTGGCTACTACGACAGAAGTATTCTTGTTAGAAGGGAAATTTACAGGTGTGGGATCGTACAATGGTATACGATGTGCGCACGATGTATGCATGATATACGCATGATAGGAAAACTGAACGAAATAAGCTATCGCACATTTGTGCTCACGTTGTGCGGTTCTATCGCATCTAGATATATAAGAACATAGCTAAGTACATTTCCTAATTGAGCAATGAATATATAGGTTGGACACTTGTAGATCTGTAAGACACACCCTGAATAGGTACATACACTCGTAATTTACTGTTTTCTTTACAAAGAGCCACACGTGACGAGCCTTTCTGGAAGGACACTCATTATATATATATATTTACACTATATATGTAAACATTAAATGGGCGCCTCCATTTGTCAATGAATCATTTTAAATCTCATACTGTCAGGAAGGACACTTTATTTCCATTACTTCTATATTACTCTCTTTTTTTCTATCATTTTGTAAACTAAAAATATCTACACAGGTAAATTTCAAGTGTTTTGTTTATTACACGGATGACCAAGCACGGATCCGGGCCTGTCACACGTATGTACCCGAATACAGGTAAATTTTGTTCCCGCGGCACCACCACTCACCACTCTCTGAGGCGTGAAACTATCTACAGTAAGACTAATAAATGCAGGTCAAGTGTTATTTGAAAACTGTCGAATTAAAAATTACTTTTGTAATCACCGATCAATTTTCAGATTCCTGTGATCGCAATTTAGTAATAACTACACAATTTTTCCGTTTAATTTTCAATCCGTAATATTAGCCAACCACCTTTACTAAACCGGACATAATGTACGATCATATCGCACTGTTGTGCGCCAGATACTGTCTAGTGGGTGTGTGCGAATGATGTATGCACGACCTGCGCGCGATGTAAGCACGATGCACGCACGATGTTTTTGGTGCGTTGTACGTTACCACAACTGCATTATGTATATATGTTGGGTCTCGGCCTTTGGTCAATAGGGGCGGAGCAAACAAGGGGTATATAATTCAATTATCGTTTTGTTTTCTATAGGCATTTTGTTAAAACTTAAACCGAGGCATCTTTTGTTGAATGAAACTTTTTGTGTAGAAGGTTGGTCTCACCCTCCTGGATATGTGTGGCCTAGGTCTCACCCTCCTGGAGATGAGTGGCCTAGGTCTCACCCTCCTGGAGATGAGGGGACTAGATCTCACCCTCCTGGAGATGAGGGGACTAGGTCTCAACCTCTTGGAGATGTGTGGCCTAGGTCTCACCCTCCTGGAGATGTGTGGCCTAGGTCTCACCCTCCTGGAGATGTGTGGTCTAGGTCTCACCCTCCTGGAGATGATTGGCCTAGGTCTTACCCTCCTGGAGATGAGGGGACTAGGTCTCAACCTCCTGGAGATGAGGGGACTAGGTCTCACCCTCCTGGAGATGAGGGGACTAGGTCTCACCCTCCTGGAGATGAGGGGACTAGGTCTCACCCTCCTGGAGATGAGAGGCCTAGGTCTCACCCTCCTGGAGATGATTGGCCAAGGTCTTACCCTCCTAGAGATGAGTGGCCTAGGTCTCACCCTCCTGGAGATGATTGGCCTAGGTCTTACCCTCCTGGAGATGAGGGGACTAGGTCTCAACCTCCTGGAGATGAGGGGACTAGGTCTCACTCTCCTGGAGATATATAGCTCTAAGAGTATCACAAAAGTTTCCATTTACACAACATTGCTTGTAAAGAGTAACACTTTTTATTCAGGGGGCCGCGGTGGTTTTAATAGGACGTAAAGCGGTGATAAACCAAACCAACTCATTGGTAGTTCAGGTGTATATGACGTCATTACAATTGGGGTGTAAATTTGTAAGAGTGTATTCGCAAATGTTTAACCGGGGATATTAAAACCATATACTGGTAACTTGAGACATATCTGTGCTGCTGAGCTTTGTATTGCTTTGCATGAATTTAGAGTTTTATTAATACACTAACCCTGAAGAAGAGGACAGATGTTCCATGCTCCAAGTCCACTGGTTCCCATGAACTGGCCAACAGCTACCTCCAGGTAAAACAGGGGAATTCCGCCTACTACCACACATATCAGGTACGGAATGAGGAAGGCTCCTACAGTAAAACATGAAAAGTATATCAGTCGGTATAGTAACCACAGTCACACCTATCAGGTAGGGGGTGAGGACGGCTCCTACAACATCAATAAAATATCTATTGATCGGTATGGTAACCACAGTCACACCTATCAGGTAGGGGTTGAGGACGGCTCCTACAACATCAATAAAATATCTATTGATCGGTATGGTAACCAAAGTCATAACCACGTTATACAGATATGACTAGTGTTGTGTTGCCGTGGTAACCACGTTGTACAGATATTACTAGTGTTGTGTTATTGTAGTAACCACGTTGTACAGATATGACTAGTGTTGTGTTATTGTAGTAACCACGTTGTACAGATATGACTAGCGTTGTGTTGCCGTGGTAACCACGTTGTACAGATATGACTAGTGTTGTGTTGGTGTAGTAACCACGTTGTACAGAGCGTTGTGTTGCCGTGGTAACCACGCTGTACAGATATGACTAGTGTTGTGTTATTGTAGTAACCACATTGTACAGATGTGACTAGTGTTGTTTGTTGTAGTAACCACATTGTACATATGTGACTAGTGTTGTTTGTTGTAGAAACCACGTTGTACAGATGTGACTAGTGTTGTGTTGCCGTAGTAACCACGTTGTACAGATATGACTAGTGTTGTGTTGCCGTAGTAACCACGTTGTACAGATGTGACTAGTGTTGTTTGTTGTAGTAACCACGTTGTACAGATGTGACTAGTGTTGTTTGTTGTAGTAACCACGTTGTACAGATGTGACTAGTGTTGTGTTGCCGTAGTAACCACGTTGTACAGATATGACTAGCGTTTTGTTGTTGTAGTAATCACGTTGTACAGATGTGACTAGTGTTGTTTGTTGTAGTAACCACGTTGTACAGATGTGACTAGTGTTGTTTGTTGTAGAAACCACGTTGTACAGATATGACTAGTGTTGTATTGCCGTAGTAACCACGTTGTACAGACATGACTAGTGTTGTGTTGTAGTAACCACGTTGTACAGATGTGACTAGCGTTGTGTGGCTGTAGTAACCACGTTGTACTAGTGTTGTGTTGCTGTAGTAACAACGTTGTACAGATATGACTAGCGTTGTGTTGCCGTAGTAACCACGTTGTACAGATATGACTAGCGTTGTGTTGCCGTGGTAACCACGTTGTACAGATATGACTAGCGTTGTGTTGCCGTGGTAACCACGTTGTACAGATATGACTAGTGTTGTGTTGGTGTAGTAACCACGTTGTACAGAGCGTTGTGTTGCCGTGGTAACCACGCTGTACAGATATGACTAGTGTAGTGTTATTGTAGTAACCACATTGTACAGATGTGACTAGTGTTGTTTGTTGTAGTAACCACATTGTACATATGTGACTAGTGTTGTTTGTTGTAGAAACCACGTTGTACAGATGTGACTAGTGTTGTGTTGCCCTATTAACCACGTTGTACAGATATGACTAGTGTTGTGTTGCCGTAGTAACCACGTTGTACAGATGTGACTAGTGTTGTTTGTTGTAGTAACCACGTTGTACAGATGTGACTAGTGTTGTTTGTTGTAGTAACCACGTTGTACAGATGTGACTAGTGTTGTGTTGCCGTAGTAACCACGTTGTACAGATATGACTAGCGTTTTGTTGTTGTAGTAATCACGTTGTACAGATGTGACTAGTGTTGTTTGTTGTAGTAACCACGTTGTACAGATGTGACTAGTGTTGTTTGTTGTAGAAACCACGTTGTACAGATATGACTAGTGTTGTGTTGCCGTAGTAACCACGTTGTACAGACATGATATATGTTGTGTTGTAGTAACCACGTTGTACAGATGTGAGCGTTGTGTGGCTGTAGTAACCACGTTGTACTAGTGTTGTGTTGCTGTAGTAACAACGTTGTACAGATATGACTAGCGTTGTGTTGCCGTAGTAACCACGTTGTACAGATATGACTAGCGTTGTGTTACCGTAGTAATTAATTGTACAGATATGACTAGCGTTGTGTTGCTGTAGTAACCACGTTGTACAGATATGACTAGCGTTGTGTTGCCGTAGTAACCACGTTGTACAGATATGACTAGTGTTGTGTTGCCGTAGTAACCACGTTGTACAGACATGACTAGTGTTGTGTTGTAGTAACCACGTTGTACAGATGTGACTAGCGTTGTGTGGCTGTAGTAACCACGTTGTACTAGTGTTGTGTTATAGATAAAAAAATCCACCAACCTCCGCCGTTCTTGTAGCAAAGGTATGGAAATCTGTAGTAACAACGTTGTACAGATATGACTAGCGTTGTGTTGCCGTAGTAACCACGTTGTACAGATATGACTAGCGTTGTGTTACCGTAGTAATTAATTGTACAGATATGACTAGCGTTGTGTTGCTGTAGTAACCACGTTGTACAGATATGACTAGCGTTGTGTTGCCGTAGTAACCACGTTGTACAGATATGACTAGCGTTGTGTTGCCGTAGTAACCACGTAGTACATATATGACTAGCGTTGTGTTGCCGTAGTAACCACGTTGTACATATATGACTAGTGTTGTGTTGCCGTAGTTACCACGTTGTACATAAATGACTAGGGGGCTGGAGTTAAACGGAAACAGAACACTGTCCCTCAGTAATGGAGGACAGGAGTTAAACGGAAGCAGAACATCGGCCCACTGTCATGTTAGCTGGGATTGATGTCCTTCTAAGTCTGTCCCTTTGTATCACTCCACTATGGTTTAGAACTAAGGTATTAGATTGTGATCAAAGTCCTCATACTATGGTCCAATGCACACGACCTTGAATCTTAGACCGGTCTCATACTTTTTATTATATAATTCAAAAGGCAGAAATATTGGAGAGACACGTCTCCTCACGTTTGTTAAGATTTCATATTTAGAGTTAACTAAGCATTCTTACGTTGACACTAGTATGTGGCAGTAAATAGGAAACTTTCACAGGTACCAGATATATCTAATACACAGTATTTCTTACCACCGCACCTGCCATGAATATACACACCCTAATACACACATATATATACGTATGTGTGTAGAGCCATCATTTACAGAGCTGTCACTGTTATAACTGACGATGAGCTTTAAAGTCACCCACTTTTTATCAAACAAAACTCTTCTAATGGAGCTACAACCGCTGAAACGTTACTAACTTCCGCACTATAGGTAATATTGATCTCACTTCAAAACTTTATTTTCATGTTCGATTTATACCAAGATTTCTTTGTTAAAACCTGCAAGTTTAGTTTGTGACGTTTGTACAAACGATAACTATCTGTGCAGGTATATGGCTTCCATTTCATCTTATCACCTGTCAACTTTTTTGTAATTAGCTTATTATCGATAAGTAACCCAGTAAGTTTTGTGCGTATTTATATATCTATAAATACATATACTAAACAAATATTAAAATCGTAAATTCAAATTTGAAAAAATATAGATAAAAAAATCCACCAACCTCCGCCGTTCTTGTAGCAAAGGTATGGAAATCTCCATACGTTTCCTAGACCTACAGAAAATCCAATACATGCAAGCAAAAAGTCCAGTTTTGTCGACCAGGTTTCCCTCTTATTCAACGCTTTTCCATCATCCGCAGCTTCTTCAGTGTTTGAGGTACCGGATACGATTTCTTTTTCTTTGGAAGACATTTTCTGTAGAAATCAAGGTTAACACCCCAAACGTCCTTAAGTCTACTACTGCTGATCTGCTGGATTCAAGTTGTTGCCCGACGGCGTTCCGCAAGGTTGATTTCGTCTGTCGGTGTTGTTTGTAAACAAGGAGCGGATTGGAAATACGTTTTTACAACATCATATAACTTGTTTATGGACACGCTGTTCCATAAATGTATACTTAAAAACAATGAAATTCAAATGAAGTTTAAACTTTCACTCGCCAAGTACCTACACCGTTATTCGAGGGGGTGGGTTGGGGGTAAACAAGTACGACATTAGCTCAATAGGGTCAAAGGGTCATACATGTATATTACATAAATCATACAGACATATATTTGTGACACATACAAGTTTTACGTCATGCGAGCGGATTGAAGATAACATCACCTATTGATAAAAAACAAACTATACATGTGTTTTTCATTAAGATCTGATGGCACGATGAACCAGGGCGTATCCATACGAAAACTCTATAAATAAATTCGACAGCAGTAAAGATCTCTCTGTTTGTCTGTTAACCGGTTCTGTTCTCATTAAAAGTCACTACATACAAGTGAACAAAGGGGCACAGGGATATGAAAACATGTCGCAGGTATTTTTAGATCGCGACGTGCGTATAACATTTCATTTCGTCTTGCATTGAGGTTAGGTCAATGTTGGGGACAAACGACACCCCTACAGCATACAAAATACCGGAACGAAGTTGTCGGTCAGAGCCTAGAACAAGATTCACGGTCTCGCACCACCTCAATAGATGAATGAAAATGACAACGTATTGTCAAAATCACAACGACAACGTAATGTCCAACATTTCTGTTATGTGTTCATAAAACATCAAGCAAAGCGAGAGAAAAAACATCCTAGACAGAGAGAATCGCTGTAGTTAGGTAATTAACATCATAAAAAGAGAGAAGCGCTGGGTAATTAGGTAATTAACATAAGACAAAGAGAGAAGCGCTGTGTAATCATGGATATCATTTAAGGAATTGGATTTTTTATTGACAAGATGATGAAGCTCAAATACAGCCAACCAACATTGTCTTCAAATGGACATAGAAGATCGTAAAATAAAATACAGTTTATAGAAATATTTCCTCAAGGTATATAGTGATTCCTCGCTCATTCACTAGTTTATGAGAACACATCTCAATAGAAATATTTCGGAAGATCGCTCACTTACTGATTTCAAAGAAATTAAACAAAAAATCAATACCAAATATAATTATTGCCAAGTTCGGATGCCATGTTCATGTCCCTGACAATGTGATGAGGCGAAATGCGACGGAGACATGTTCATGTCCCTGACAATGTGATGAGGCGAAATGCGACGGAGACATGTTCATGACCCTGACAATGTGATGAGGCGAAATTCTACGGAGACATGTTTGTGTCCCTGACATGGTGATGAGGCGAAATTCTACGGAGACATGTTTGTGTCCCTGACAAGGTGATGAGGCGAAATCCTACGAGACATGTTTGTGTCCCTGACATGGTGATGAGGCGAAATTCTACGGAGACATGTTTGTGTCCTTGACATGGTGATGAGGCGAAATTCTACGGAGACATGTTTGTGTTCCTGACTGATACATGACGAAAAGGTGAAACTTTTCAGGGACATGTTTGTTTCCGATATGTACATCACAGATTAGAGTTCTTCGTGTGATAGAAACTGACTGTGTCTTGATTTTCCATTTAAAGGGACAATACGGTAAAACATTAAATTAGTACGTGTTTTTATACTTCTAGATACGTTTTCATGCTTTTCCAATATTCACTGTCTATCTCCAATGTCCAGTTTGACCTACTTTTGGACCTGGAAACTCCTCTCAAATTTAGCGATGGTAACCTTACGTCATAGTCTTGAAAACAAAGTAGTTTATTTTGTAAACACGAACACATGATGGCGACCAGAAATGAGAGCGACAGTAGTGACACAGTAAATAAAACCCCGTTCTCCAGTACCAGATTTTGTTATTAGCGTGGCAACAGTTATTTGACAATTCTTAGCCTATTCAGAATCACGAAGTAAGTGACATTATTCGCCAACATTGTTATGACCGATTCAATCGGGAAGCAATCTTGTTCACAGGAGACGATGTTTTGCGCGCATGCGTTATCATACAAGACTCAAAATTTACATATCCAGACTGTTGATCAGTAGATAAGGATTTCCTATTTATAACTATTAATTAAACTTTTTATGTGCATATTTCAGCAGAAACCAACGGTCAATGTCCATAAGGTGATATACGCGATATGTCTGCTCGTATATATGTAATAATAATACTCCAGTAATAATAACCCTTTTACCGTGATGTCGCTTTAAAGGGACGTTTTTGCTTTGAGGAAAATGTTCCGAAACTGGTTGTCTATGGCTGGCTCAAAGTCTACCTAGTCTGTTAGTGACTTGTCGATATCAAACTAGTGAGCACAAAAAAAATCCTTCCTAATTTGTCTGTCTATGGCACAAATCTATCTAGTTTGTCTATGGCACAGATCTACCTAGTTTGTCTGTCTATGGCACAAATCTGCCTAGTTTGTCCATCTATGGCAGTTTGCTTGCGTTCAGCACAAATCTACATAGTTTGCTTGCGTCCAGCACAAATCAACATACTTTGCTTGCGTTCAGCACAAATCTACATATTTTGCTTGCGTTCAGCCCAATTCTACAAAGTCTGCTTGCGTTCAGCCCAATTCTACATAGTTTGCTTGCGTTCAGCCCAAATATACAAAGTTTGTTTGCGTTCAGCACAAATCTGCATAGTTTGCTTGCGTCCAGCCCAAATATACATAGTTTGGTGGCGTTCAGCCCAAATATACAAAGTGCGCTTTCGTTCAGCACAAATCTACATAGTTTGGTGGTGTTCAGCCCAATTCTACATAGTTTGCTTGCGTTCAGCCCAAATTCACATAGTTTGCTTTCGTTCAGCACAAACCTACATAAATTGCGTTCAGCACAAATCTACATAGTATGCTTGCGTTCAGCACAAATCTACATAGTTTGGTGGCGTTCAGCCCAATTCTACATAGTTTGCTTGCGTTCAGCCCAAATTCACATAGTTTACTTTCGTTCAGCACAAACCTACATAAATTGCGTTCAGCACAAATCTACATAGTATGCTTGCGTTCAGCCCAAATATACAAAGTTTGCTTTCGTTCAGCACAAACCTACATAAATTGCGTTCAGCATGAATCTACATAGTTTGCTTGCGTTCAGCACAAATCCACCTAACCAAACACCTATTTCGGTGATATAAAAAGTTACACCGAAGGTCTGCTGTCACACACTTTATTGTTTTCGGGATTCGAAATATATGCAATGTAACTTCTCAATATATGGGATCTCGCGACCCTACTGGTCCATAATCAGATGTTACATAACTTCAGTCGTTAAATAACTAAGTGTGGCGAATGCACTAGTGGTATCGACAAAATAACGTCAACCCTTTTTACTTCAATAAATCTGTCAAAATTATTTGTGCAGATATATACTGACTTTTCACCTGTCAGCTGATGACGTAACTTGTCTCGAACAGCCTGTAGGCAGTGCTGTTATTAACAATTGGCTCGTCCGTTGTGACACCCAAACATGTGACAGACATATTAGCTCGTTTATCGTGCACAGTGACAATTAATGATCAGAGAGGTTGTTCATCTGAACACTGCCGCTTTTTAGCTTATTAGGTTCAGGGTTTCGTGTAAAGGTCTGGTTGTAGGGACATAGCAGGGAATGTACATGTATAACGATGTCTTCGAAATACAGGTAATAACAGGAACCCGGTGTTCTGAATAACGGGGTATAATAGGACAAATTATCTAGTCAATTTAAAAAAATTCTTCTTTTCATAAAGAAATGTTCACAAAATGAAAAATTCCTGGGCTCATTTTTGTGTGAACGTTAGGTCTGACAGCCCCCCTCCCCCCAACAGGGTAGTGGAAAGCATTATATCTATATAAATATTGAAAGTGTACTCTGAATGGAAACGGAACTTACTGTATCATTGTTATCTATGATCCAAGATCAAAAAAGTTGAGAACCGCATAAAAATCTGCCGGCCCAATACCGAGATGTTGATTATAAAAATGTATGCTTTTCACCAGTCTTTCTATAACCATACAGCTGGTATAACAGTAGCCATAGAAGGGACAGGCGAGATCGAGAATACCCATGCTTTGCAACATCAGATTGGAATCGAATATTTTTTTTTATTTCATGAAACTTGCCAGAATTTTCAGACAGTCATTAATTTAAACATTTTTATTGTCAACCTGAAACCAAGGGATGTGGCACAAGTTATTCCAATAATACACCTTCTCCCAATAAACATTTACATATTTAAAGTAATCACTATGATAGAAACATAAATACAGTGTATATCTATATTACAAATACAATAACAAATATGTTACTAGACTGAATGAAGGACTGCACATGTTTGAATATATTTGAACTACGGTCTATGGTAAAATGAGGGTTTCCGAACAAAATTGTATCCAAATTGAACACTACATTCAAAGTAGTGAAATTTTAGATCAAAGTATTTTTTACAAGGATAACCCACAATTGCACGAAACTTCATTTACAAGTGAGTATGATTGAAACCAAACATACGACTCTATGATGGCAAAGCCTGGTAGCATTGTTGTTTCTGAGCACTGATGAGGAATTTGCTATATTTCGTACCAGAATTGCCATTACTTATGTGTCTTTTGTACAATGTATTACACACACCGACACACACAGACACACACACACCGACACAACCCCCCCCCCCCCCCCCCACACACACACACACCGACACAGACACACACCATCACCGACACACACACAGAGAGACACACACAGACACACACACACACCGACACCGACACCGACACACACCGACACACAGACACACACACACCGACACCGACACACACAGACACACACACCGACACACACCGACACACACACACACCGACACACACACCGACAC